ATTATTTTTCACCACAAGTCCAGTATTTTGGAGGAGTACTTTGAAAATTTAATGTGTCTAAATGACTTGGAAGACTTGTATTTGTTAGATTAGGATTCCAATTTGTTGTTCAGCCTTATGGCTTGCTTCAGTTATAAAATGCTGAATTCTGAATCCCAGTTCTTAGAGATGAGGCTGTGGTTCTCTGCTCCTTTTCAAACACTCTGGAGGAAGACTGCTGTCATCTGGCTGACATGCTCTGTTGGAGCATATTTCCAAGGAACGGGCACATACGTGCTAGTAGGCCATAGGCCTCTGGTAGAAAGCCAGGAGCAAGAAAAACATTAGCAAGAAAGACACAGATGGGAACTGGTAACTTTTGACAGCTTATAAAGTAATCAAATGCAGACTGATTTTCAGAAGGCCAATAAAATTTAAACTCTCATTTTAACACTAACATTATACCACATGCTGAAGTGTTACTCTAAACCATAGAGTGCTGTTCCAAATCTTAACATTTTTAATAAAGGACTTTGTTAAGACACTGCAATTTCTCCTGTAGGTCATAGAATTGTAGCTTCATGTAGGTCGCAAAAGACCTTCAAGATCGAGTCCAGTTGTCAGCTTGACCTACCAAGGCCTGTCACTGAACCTCATCCCTTGGGGCCATGATTACAAGATCATAAAACTTCTGTTAAGCAACAAATGCTGAGAAGAAACATCCTCTTGGAAAGGATATTGCAAAACTCTCCAGCATGTGGTATCCTGCATCTTTTCCTGAACTGTAGTGCTGGCCACTGTCAGTGGGAAAACTGGAATAATCTTGTCTAGAAAGTTCATACGTTTTCCAGTCTTCAAAGTATTGTATTTTAGTTGATGTGGACACCTTTCGTTAATTCTCCAATCCTGAGCTTGTTTAAATATAGGAAATCTATCCCACAGCATGGGTTGAGAAACAAGACGAGCCTATTACGCTAAAAGCAGAATTGATCCATTTCTGCAACTGAAAAAAAATAATAATAATTCTAATCATTTGATTAACCGTCTAAATATTTATAAAAAGGCCTACTAGGTTTGGCAGTTGTCTCAAAATCATTTTGTTCTACAACTTATTATATTGATCCTAAACTAGATTACACAAAGCAAATTACTTCTAGAATTATTTCTGATTTGTGCTTTCACCCAGTGAATCTTTATAATTTCAGTTTCTTTTCTTAGGAAATTTTCATCCTCTGTTCTTCAAATACTCCAGTCTATTTTACTCTCTTTGTCTTCACTACATCTTTTTCCACTGCATTCTCAATTTCTAAAGGATTTTTTCATTCATAATTAATTTTGGCGTTTTAAATCACATCTCTGTTCCTCAGGGAGCACTGAATAAAACAATTTGTAAACTTCTGATGCAAATTTTCCTTGAAATTTTGCTCAGCTTGGTTAGTATGTTGGAAATTATTTCCAAGTTGATAGATAAAACCATTATTTTTCTGTTAAGACTCTGCCACTATCCTTTCCTTTACAGGGAACACTTGATTGATTCAAAGCTATTTCATCAATCAGTGTGAGGACAGAAGAAATGAAAGTTGATGCTGCTGGGTGTTAAATCTTTGTTATCTATGGCTGAACTAGTGTGGCAATCATTCTAATACTTGAGGCAATTGCTACACAAGATTGTAATAGTGGCTTAAACCTGAGTAACATATTATCTGCAATTCATTTTCTTTGTAATGAAATTGGGTGGCCATAAGGACTTTTTATCACAAGAAAGGGGAAGATGATCAGTTTGAAGTCTAAGTGTTAGGGTGCTATGGGGGCTGGATTTTCCCTGGGGCCATGGTACCTGGATCCTGGCTGTCAGCCTCCATCCTGCTGCCCCTCTGCTTGGCCAATATCCCAACCAAGCTACTTAGCTCATATTTTAAAATATATTACCTACAAAAAGCTGTAACTGAATGGCAAGAATTCAAATATCTCACTTGAGTTGAGTTTCTGGGTTTGGGTTATCTGTGTTTGAAATGTCTCTCTGGTCCTTCATGTCCCGTGTCAAAGTGATCTTTTAATGGTCATGTGTCCAAGTCTGTCCAAGACTGTTCAGGAGTGGAGGAAACAGCAATGTTCTCCTCTCTGTCCAGTCTGGTCTTGAGGTATATGAGAGGAAACTCAAATCAGCACAATGGGAAACTTTGGCTTTAACTTCTATCTTCATCAAGAAGAAACTGTCTTGCACTTGGGTTTCCAGGTGTGATGCTAGATCCTCAAGCTGCAGCAAGCTGCCTTATTTCCTTCTGTTGCAGGTCTGATTCTGTGTGAAATGCATGAACTAGGCATAATGCAGAGAATAAGCAGAAACAGAAATTTACTTTACTTGGAGATTAAGACCTTCTCATGGCTAAAGGTAAATGAACACAGATATCCCTTGTCCTCAGTGTGTTACTGTAGAGGAAACGCTAAGCCATGCCTTGTGGCAGTGATTGAGTATCTGGTGGGAAGGCAGGACCAACTCAGGGGAGCTCAGGTGCAAGGAATGCCCCTGAATGACTGGAAGAGGTGGAGCCAGGATCCACCCCTTCCCAGACCTCATTTAAGGACTGGCAGTGGAAGCAAGGTTATCTTGCTGGAGATCCTTGCATACTGGTAGTCTGAAGATAAGTAGCTTCTTTCCTTTATTTCTGTGCCCAGCTGTTAATGCTTGTGCGTTGTAAAGCTGTTGTGTGTAAAGCTGTTAATGCTTGAGCAAAAGCTTGCTTGCTTCAGCCTGGGGCTTTGCTGCCCTGCTATCATTGCTGTGCTTTCCGTTGCATTACAGTTATGAAGATCACTAGTTAGGGTACAATGCATGGAGGGAAAGGGGATGTTGGTTGACACTTGGCTGAATGTGAGCCACCAGTGTGCCCAGATAGCCAAGATGGCTGGTAATATCCTGGCTTGTATCAGAGATAGTGTAGCAAACTGGAGCAGGGATATGATAATCCCCCCGTACTCAGCACTGGTGAGGCTACACCTTGAGTAACGTATTCAGTTTTAGGCCTTTCACTGCAAGAAAGACACTGAGGCCCTGGAACATGTCCAGAGATGAGCAGTGAATCTCTGGAGGGTCAGGAGCACAAGTCTTATGAGAAGTGGCTGAGAGAACTGGGATTATTCAGTCTGATGAAAAGGAGGCTTGCGGAGAACTTATTGCTCTTTACAGTGATCTGAAGGGAGGTTGTGGTGAGGTGGGGGTCAGCCTCTTCTCCTGAGTAATAGTGATAGGGTGAGAGGAGATGGCCTCAAGTGGCACCAGCAGAAGTTCAGGATATATATTAGGAAAAACTTCTCTGAAAGAGTGATCAGGTGCTGGAATGAGATGCTTATAGAGGTGGTGGTGTCACTCTCCCTGCTAGTGTTCAAGAAATGTGCAGATGTGGTATTAAGGAGCATGGCTTAGTGGGCAATATTGGTGGTATGTGCATGGTTGGACTGGATGATCTCAGAGGTCTTTTCCAACCTTAACAATTCTATAAAGGAGAATAATGCATCTTCTGGAAGGGATTTTTTTCTTTTTCTGGAGAGAAATGTCTTTTGGGGGCAACAGTCTGAAAATGAATCCCAGAAGACAATATGCAAGCTCCAAAACTCTGCCTTCTGAAAAACTGCTTTGCTAGTTTTGTTCACAACTCTACTCTGTTGAAAGTGATGAGCTTAGATGTTATGAAATTCAGGTAAATACTCACAGCTACAAGATGCTGGAGCCCTTAAAATTTAACCAGACTACCTAAAAGCTATTTTCTGTGTCAAGTTCTGAACTCTTCCTTCAGCCTAACCATTCAGAAAAATAAATAGATCCTTGGCACTATGTAGTCTAATTAGTAGAAATCTGAACTAAAACTTCTGAGGTGTCTCTCCTAGGACCATTGTGACTAAATTTACATAGACACACTATTATTACAGGGATTCTGAGACTTAGGGAGCTCCAAGTGGTTTGCTTTGATATTCCATTGGGAGGTAAGTGACTTAAAATTAGCTGTGGATATTAATCTCATTTTTGTAAGCAGGTAAGAGTGTGTAAATTTAGGTGTGAATGTAATTAGAGAACTCAAAAGATTTTACTGCCATACTCAAATTTTATTTCATAGATTAAACAGACTCTGCGCAGGACAGATTCTGAAAAATTACACTTTGTAGCCCTATAATGCCTGGGAAAAACACTGAAAACTTCTAGATTTGCACATCCCACCTCTTATCTATACTAACTCTATTACAATGAGAACAGAGAAAACCACCTTGACCGCCTTCAGGTATGGTGACTCCCCCACCTCCCTGAGCAGCCTATTTCAATGCATTATTGAGAATTCTCTTACTGAGAAGAGATTTTTCTTAATATCCAACCTGAAGACAAAGACACTTATTTATCCTTAGCGATAACTGTTTAATTCCGAAACAAAGTTGAGCGTTAGAGCGGTATGAGTTGTATCAATTTATATGCCCCATGAGGTCATGTTTTTGACTGAGTATTTTATTTAAATAAAGTGATAAAATGTAACAGTCAACAAACCAAAGAAACTGCACTTTTTTTTTTTTCATTGAATTGTAATTTATCATATGGCTTTATAGAGTTTTGCTGCTAACTACTACAATGGGGTTATCTGTCATTAAGTTGAAATATCTACATTACATGCACTGTGGCACAGCATTAAAAATTTGGGAAGAACTTACAAAACATTCATATTCTCTTGCTTTGGCAAAGGTCAGTGTAGAGACTGTTTCCTGGTTTCTGGCCATGACATGATGCACTTCTTGGTTTCCTAAGCCTGATTTAACAATGGAAAAATCCTAAAGATAACTTTGAATTGCTATGCTGGTTTTACACTGGTTTTATGGCGAATATTTAAAAGGGAGAACTCTCAATCTGACACTGCTGTCATCATGTGTTTGCACAGAGATAGCACAGGGTATCAGTATCTGTCTCTGTGTCTCTCCCTCTTTGCTGCTATATTTATCACCCTCCTGGCCATAAAAGGTCTGTCCTGGGGCTCTGACATTCCACTGACTACAGGCATTATTTTTGTTCTGGACGTTCAAGTCCAGTCCTTACCCAGGTCCTGTCTACGTCTGCTTTTACTGCATTCGTCACTGCTATATGTTTCTGTTGTTCATCTGTTTCAGAGCTAATCCATTTGCTGTTCATCTCGACCCCGGTAAGTGTTTCTGTATGGCATAAGGCTTTATGTGTTCAACTATTTTTAATTTGAATCCATACTGCCGAGTTGATGGTAGCTGTCTTTTAGTCTCCTCAAATCAGCAGTTATTTGAGGAAGTAGTGGATTGGTACTGACAAAATCTGAAGGCTCAACTGTGGAACAAAGTGAAGTAGCGCAAGCATTCACTTACTAAATTGGTTATCCCAGCATATTCTTATAGTACCCTCAAATGAAGCATGGACTACTGAGACATAGCAGGAATCTGTTGTGTTACTTCTTCTGGGATTAGAGAATGTGTAATCTAAATATTTTCTAGCTGCAGAGAATGTCTTGTGATTTGTAAAGGAGATTAAACACCATTGACTGAGCTGAAGGGAGTCTTATATATACTTTTTTTTAAGCTTGTATGTTTCTGTTCTTTTTTCCTATTTCATTGTTTTCACTTATTGATGAAGCAGATCTTTAAAGAATTACAGATAGTAAATTGTGCAACAGGCACTGCCAGTAATTCACTTCCCTTGATGTGTATTTACAGCCTACAAACAAGTACTGCCTGTCTGCTCAGATGTCATTCTGAAAATTCAGTTCAACAGCTGCTAACATATAGCTCCAAAATCAGCATATTTATCTAACTATGTCTTCTATATTTTTAGGCCTGGCTCTGCAGTTACAAATTCCTACACAGCTTCTTGAGAAGGAGTGCTTCCCTCATAGTGAAAAGGGCTGGTTAGTGTAGGTACAGGTGGGATGGATTTTATAAAATTTAAAGACATGGGAGTCAATCAGATTACCAGCCAGTGCTGGTAATAGGAGCAAAATTCTCACAAGGTTCAAAGCTTCTTGTCATCCCCACAAATGTAGCTGTACTATATCTTGTCAAACTGATGTCACTAACTGACCTTTACCTGTGAGTAATGTTTGATATTCCAGAGAAATACAAAACATAACTGGTAGGATGATGAAACACTTATAAAAGGAAATTTTTACATTGCATCAGTAGGAGTTGTCCTTTAATTCAAGCCAGGAAAGCTGACTTCTTGTTCAGCTTGTCTTACTTGGTTCTCACTCTTACCATATACTTCTCTTACTTCTGAGAATAGTGAGGCCCACAGGTTTAATGTTTAGAAGGAAAAATTGCCTTAATTCATTCTAAATATGATGACTTGAAGTTGTTAAGCTTTTTTTTTCTTTTTTTTTTTTCACTCGGATAAGATGTAAATTGGAATGCATCTTCTAATGTCCTTATTTGACAATACATGAAGTGTTTTATACTTTTGGATTACATTCCCTACTTTGCATCCTGGAAAGCTGGGGAAGTCCCTGAGCAACAGGACTGAATGGGTGTTAGCTTTGTGGCTGCTGTAACCATGAAGAAACTAAACAAAGCTAAAAATAAAACTGGAGAAGGTGAAGGGTTGCAAGTGCAGTGCTCAACAAAAGGGGGGAAAAAAAGAGATGCTCTCATGCTCTTTTCCTTTCAGTGTGCAAAACAAGACTCATCTGCACATCTTAATTGTGCCAAATAAAAATTGCAGTGGTTTGCAAACCCTAACCTTCTTCTGCAAACCTGGCAGAAAAAGTGGTGAAGAAAAATGAAGAAGAAATCTTATGAAACTGGGGAACTTAAGAGAAACTATGTACCACCAAAGGCCAACAAAGTGAAATAAATAGCAATAAAAAATATTGATTGGAATTAGGAGTAAGGATATTTAAAAAAAAAAAAAAAAAAAGGGACATCTTCACTATATTCAACCCTCGTCCCATTTTCAGAAGGGAACTACCTTTCACCTGATCAAATTTTCTCCTATGAGAAATGGCAAGGAAAACTAGTGGTGATTGTGCAAAGTCAAACTTAGGTGAGGATACCACCTGTATCAACTGTAAAAGTGTGATAAGCCCCTTTAAATGAATCTCTGCAATAGAATCTTTGGAGTTGGAAAGGACATTTAAAGGTCATAATGCACGTTTATGGAAAAAGAGTGATGTTCTCAATCTTACTGTTTCTAATTGATTATTAAAATCTTAAATTTTAAATTAAATTGGATTTTAAAATTGTATTACAAAAATGAATGAAATGTTTGCGTATTTTTGTCTCAGCTTATAATGTATTGAATAGTTTTCCTGCAACCTCATACCATTTTAAATCATTTGTTAAATTAAGAAGAAGAGATTAATTTAACAAAAATATTTAAGGTACTTCTGAAGAAGTTGAACACATAAAATTTCATGAGCAGTAATGACTGGACAAGTTAAACAAATAGGAGTGCAATAGTTTGCAGTAAGAACAGGGAGACTATTACAAGTGAACAGATGCCATAATACAAGGTTTTCTGCTTGTGTTGAATGACATGATCTTCTTGAGGCTTAAAAATGGACTCTTCTTAAGAAGCATCAAAAACAATAACCATAAATTTATTATATGTTTAAAGATTGAAGGTCTTGTTAGTTTAAGTTCTGTACTATTTGTATGCTGTCTCAGAAGTTTTTTTGACATTACTCTTTATTTTTGATCTTTTTCAGACAGTCCTGCTAGGTTTACATTCAGAAAATCACAGGGAAAACAAAATTAGAAGGCTCTCATGATGTCTTTACCATTCTATCAAAGACACCATGACCATTATGACCGTGCGTATCGCCATAAAGCACTGCAGTCAACTGTAAGCCAGTACCAAAAGGAAACAAAGAGCAAATCTGCTGTCTATGCTCAAGGATCTGCAGCTTATGCCAGGGGATCTGCAGCCTACCGCCATGCTTCTGCAGCAGACTTCAGCCTCGAGTCTTCAGCAGCATATAGCCATGGCTCTTCAGCCCACAACCTTGAGTCAGCAGCCTACAGCTATGGATCTACAGCCTATGATCACGCTGCTGTGCAAAGTAAGAGATCTGCTGCCTACAGTCTTGACTCTGAAGCCCTCAGCAAGAGCTCTGCTGCCTATAGTCATGGATCTGAATCAATCAACAAGCTGGCTGCAGCCTACCGCCTGGGGTCAGAGACCTACGGTCTTGGGTAAGGCTAAAAGTAAATCTGTCTTTGAAACAGTATTTTAGAGCAAAAATGTGTTACCATATCCCATTGGTAAAGCAAAACTTTCAAGCTCTTCAATACAAATAAGCTCTGTGACATGGTTTAAATATATCTTCCAGACTTAGTGTTTTCTTTTCTCTTTGAGGCTGGGAAGCGCTCTGGTCAGCTAGTTTGCTGGACTAACTTGTGTGATATCTGGCATGAAAACAGCACTGTTAAGGCTGAATGATGAAAAATATGAGCTCCATATGCATTCTCTAAGCTGGGTGGGCATGAGTTCCCAAAATTGTTCTGTCATATTAAGACTGCTGAAGCTAATATTCAGTGCTGAGAGAACTTCTGGATTGAGGCTGGATCTTATTTGGCCATGATGGAGCACTAAAAGAACTTGGGGCTGTTTGCATGAGTTGAGCTGACGTGTTCATATATCATTAAACACTTCTGCCTTAGCACAGTATTTTTATTTTTGTGCTGAGTGAGTCAAGAAATTGAAATTTTCACAGTGAAAATTAGTTGAGAGATACTACTTTCAAAGAGTACTATATAACTGTTTATTTTGCATTAGAATAGCTATGCTTAGCTGTTGTTATTTTAGTTTAATTAAGACCATAAATAATGCTCAAGCAATTACTTTAGCATAATATTTTAGATAGCGTGGCCTCATGTTATATGTATATATCTCAGAAGTTGGGGAAGCATTAAAGTAAGATTAGAGCAGCTGTTAGCAATAAAGAAAGCAATCAACAAATTATAGAGAAAACATCTGCTCTCCATCATATTAATATAAAATTTAGAGCATTATTAGCAGAACCAATTGAGAGTTGTTCACCAGAAACTTGAATTTTGAAAACAGAATATTCTCCAAGGATTTTGGATAAATACGAATTCTGACCAAAAGTGCTGAGGGAAAGACTACCTGTACCACAGTAAATAATGCCTCATGATTACAGCCTTCACTTGTCTTTCAGGCAGTTCAGGGTCAAGATTCCATTTGCCAGAGTTTGTTCAGGAAATTGAACCTCAGGCAGTTAGAGCCCAGATGAATGACTTGGCAGTCTTGGGCTGGACAATATCCAGTCTTTCCTGTTGAAACAATTTCACTTGTATAAATAATTAACTACTCTGTGAAGTAGCAAGGAAGACTCATTTATAATCTGCTGATAAAGGGATGCAGACTGGAGATGGTAGGACTGTGTTTTTTGTTCCTAGAGAATCAGGTAGGGGAAAGTATCCCAAGTTGTTCCTGCCCTGCAGTGATGCAGCTGTGCCTACTTGTTGCTGCTATCCCTAGCCCAAAGCTTTGCTGTTTTCACAGAAAACTTTTAGTATTCCAATACATGGAAACATTACCTGAAGTTACAGAAAATGATCATAAAAACAAAATCTGCCAAGTCCCATTGATTCAGTGATTGAGGATTTTAGATACTTATTCTGAAATGCGAATCTCCTTGCCAAGAAGAGCTCTAATTGTTTGATGTACTGAAACTATACTAAGAGAGCTTGGAATGTTTCTAGGTTTCCTAGGTGCTTTGTCTGACATAATAGCTTTTGTTTTGAAACAGTATATTTGGTGCTACTTCTGTAAGCTGCTCTGTAGCATAAGAGTTGCCAACAGATCTCATGTACTGTCCTGCCAATCAGAGATGAGAATGTCTCAGCTGTAATCCCTCTCTGATACTGTCTTTGTACCAGAGCTATGGGAAGCTCAGTGCTGCTGTGGGAAACAATAACTTCGGATATTAGAGTTAGAAACTTAAACTGCTCTTGCACGAAACTTAATACATGGGAAAATATGTTTCTGAGTGGTAATATTTAAGGCAACTTTATGGTTAATGTGGCTTCAGTTTTGGTATTTATTTGGCTTCTGTAGCAACTTCTTGGTGGACATTTTGGTGCAATTTTCAAGATGTACAAGTGGTGCTGATTTAAAGTAATTCTTCCTAAATTCATGCTGTCTTTCCCTGAAAGCTCAAAACACTTCAAGGGATAGTTTGGAGACAAGAAGTGTTACTAAAATAATCTGAGCACATCACTTCTTGATTTCATCCTTATAAAAGGAATAGTATAATGATGGCGGGGCTGGGGGGAGGGGTTGTGGAAGAAAAAGTGTTCAAGAAGTCTTCAAACACTTTCAATTTTCAAAATGATAAAGTGCTCTGAATCAAGGTGCTGCATCCAAACTAGAGCCCTTGGTGGTTACTGGAAGCCTGAATACACACAAATCCAAATCCAGATAAAACTGTTCAAATAATTGTTGATGCTTGGCTGTCATTTGATTTAACATTTAGATTTATGTGTAGTGGTTTTGTTGATGTATAGTTCTGTGAATAAACCTTTCTAAGCTCACGAGGAAAACAGACCATTCAAATACTGAGCTTAAATTCAGGCCACCTCTTATTTTTACTGAAAGTTGTTTCTGTTAAGTTTTACTATTCCTGCGAAATGTGAGTCTCATCCATTTCTATAACCACTCACAGAAAAGAGTGTCCATAAAGAGGTGAGGCTGATGCACAGTTGATGCTGTGTGGGGAATTTATCATGGGAAAGCAGTGGTGAAGGACGCAGGGCTGAGTAACATGCAAGATTTTGACCTGATCCCAGTTCTCTGAGTGGAAAGTGCTCAGAGCACTGACAACTTAAAGGAACTACAGCTCCTTCAAAATGATAGGCTGTCTGTTCATTGCATTTCAAGTTTTTTCAAACAGTGACAGCTTGGAGAAGCAAGAGGAGAAAAATGAAAGCTAGCAAAACTAAGAACAAGTGCAGAGGGATGTTTTTAACTCTGCTGGTTACCATTTGCCAAAGCTATAAAATGCTGGGCTTGTAAAACAAACTGATTTTCATCAAGCAAAGGTTGCCATGTCACATCTCGCCCTCTCCACCAGCTTGGAGCCACCCCTGCCCTGCGCTGCTCCTCTTGCCTCTGCAGGGCTGTGAGGCTCTGATTATTTTTCTTTTCTGTCACTTCTTTATTTATTTAGTAAGCTCAATATTTTGCCTTTGCTCAAACTTTTGTTGCTTTTATGTATGTCCTTTTTGTGGCTGGCAGCATCAAGTGAAGACAGTTGTGTCATAGAATTGCTTTCTGACCCCAAATGGGCTTGCTTGGAGAGAAAATGTAAGTTAATGGTGTGGCTCAGGTGTTTGTATTGATTTGTAGTTAAGGAGAAATAGCAAAGAAGACAGGGACATAATTCAGGTGAACGAAGCAAGGAGAGGAGAGGCATCTTACTGACTTGCAATTAATTAGAGTGCCAGATAGTAATGCTGTTCTGAGCAATAACGTAACCAGGAGCAGCAGAGGGCTGAGTAAATATTTTAAGAAACATGAGAAGACTGTGAACTTGACCTCCCTGCTGGCACTGCTTGTCCTTCAGTTTATTATAGGTGAGGGTTAAGGAGAAGGCTTCCAAACGCCACAGCGGAGCACGGAAATCATTTTAATGTAACCTGCTACATGGAAACAATTCCCCTTTAAAGCATTTGTTGTGGAATCCCTGTTAGGGAACAGCATGATTATTGCCAGCAGTATTGCTTGGTCCCTTGACAAATCCATCAGCAACTTCAAGTGAGCGTAGTCATCACAGTGTGCTTCTCATCTTATCTTTAGAAGCTGGATTGAAAGAGCTTTCTTGTGAAATGCCTATACATATATATATTCTCGTGGTTTGTCAATCCACTCTCTCCTCTTCATAGTGAATCAGTTCAAACATTACATGCTAGAAAATAAGTAGCTGTAGCAGATGGGCCTGAGAAATGCCTCTTGGCTAGTGGAGCTCCTATGGTACAGCTATGGTATGTACCAACAGCATCTCTGCCTGCTGGCAGAATAAAGTCAGAGTCATTAGAAAAGCATCCTAAGGACAAGATAATTTTCTAGTGGTGCTGATGAGCTTACAGATGCCTTTCATGCTGTGGAAGAATAACTGCGAAGTAGGGTGTTGTGGCCCACTACTAGGATACATCTATCAGGCCCAGGCTTTCTTTGTGCAGGATGGGAAACCTGTCTCTTCAGGCACAGGGACAAGGGCAGTGCCAACATACTGTAGTCTGTTTATATATTGAAGAAGATATAAATGTGAATACATGTGAGAATATGGCATCAGAACGCAACCTCTTCTGGGGAGTCTCATAGGCTCTGCACAGTAACATTGCTCTGTTGGGCTATATGGAATGCTAATAGTGTCTACCAGTTTTTTAATCTCTCTACAGGATGATACCTGTGCTTTAGCATTTTTAACCATCCAGCTCCTCATTCCATATATTCAGTGACTCTACTGTGAAACTGAGAAAATGCTGGTGTTGATATTTTAACACGCTGAAACCATCAAGAAAGGAGGACTTGGGTCACCAACCTTGATAAAGTACCACAGATAGCATCTGACCTGGAAAAAGTACATGTGTGCTAGCTGGGTAGATCAAGTGAGGCAGAAAGCTGTTAAAAGGTCATGGTACTGTTCCTCCCTGTGAAATCAGAGAGCTCTGATATCCTGCTCCTTCTCCTCTGGGGAGATTCTGTTCCACATATCAGGTAAAAGGTTGGAACACTTTAAAATAAAGGCCAAGATTTTAGAAACCAGTTCAAGAAAGCAGAGTCCCCCCTTAGGCTACCTAAATAATGGTTAATAATGGTGGGCAGGGTTTGGTTTTGTATTGCACAGGAAGAAACAGTAATAACAAAAAAGAAAAACATGGCAATACACCTCATGGTAGCAGTAATGACCAATTTGTTTTCACATGCGGAATCCGTCTGAATAATAATTTCTGCTCTTATCCACATAGCTCACCCTGAATAGATGCAAGTGATAGGAGGGTTTGGAAAGGAGAAATGTTTTCTTTCGCTTCAAATTTATTCATCTCAGCTTTTGCACTCCAATTCTGAAAAAGGTTTTGGAGTTGCTCTGGGTACTCCTGAAAGCACCAGCTGAGTGCTATGGTGTGGATACAAGGCAATTAGAAGATTAGGAACAGCTGTGGCAACAAATGAGAACAAAGTAGGAAGCATGCTCTGTCAGTGCGTTAATCCAAGGTATTCTTGTAGCTGAAATACTGGATGCAGTTCCTATTATCCTGCCCCAAAAAGTACAGTCTGAAACTAGGAAAGGACTGGAGATTGATGGGGGGGAGATAGAAGGAGGATACTCTCTGCCTAGAGAAGCTAAGGGACTGGGGCTCTTGTCTTGAGAAGGAGTCAAGTATAGGCATGTAAGAGTGTATACTGTAGTGAAAGATATGTAGAAAATGAACAAGGAACATTTTTTTTTTTTCCCCTGGTATTCAACAATTAAGCACCAAGTACATTATAGTGTCATTAACTTAAAACAGGTTCAAAAGAAATTGCTCTTTGCCTGATATAAATCAGCTGTAAACCTATTTTTGCAGTAGTGATGCAGCTTCTTACCTGTCTTTCTGCTTGAAATCAGTAAGATTTTTCTAGGGATCTATTTTTCTATATGAACTTTTTAGAAAAATCAGCTTTAGACTATTGCTAGAGTGGAGAATTAGTCTAAAAGCATCCTTGTCATTAATCAGTATAATGCTTCTCAGGGGGATATTGCTTAGTCCAGGTTGTGTTTTTGGAAGAGCAGATGACTGCAGTAAATTATTTGCTTTTGTGTCAGAAAGCCTGAGTCCGATAAATGACTGGAGACCCTACATGTATCTGTTCAGTTCACAGATGTCACCTGTGGCTTTAATAGCAAAGTGTTCTGAGCCCCAGCATAGTACCAATAGGCAGCCATCGCTCTTAGAAACAGCACAGACTCCCACTGCAGCTGCCCCTTTGAACTGGAGAAGAGTGGGGAAGTTGTCTAGGAAGGTGCTTTCCTGATTCTCATCACATACACACTAGGTGTGTTTTCACTGTGACATCCAAAGTAATCAGGTGGCTTGATCATATATACACATAGCTTAGAAAACTGCAGTGAGTGGGAATCTGTGTATGTGTAGTATTTTTATCCTATACCTCATAACTCTGCAGAAGACCCGATTTTATCCCACTTTTTCAGTCTGTGGTGAAGACGTCTGACATCAATCTGAAGGGCTTAGAGGATATTTTCATTAATGCCAGCTGTAGAAGGCATAAATTATGAAGGTGAGGTATTCAGATTCAGCCTCTTGCAGTGTTTGATTTAAAAAGAGAAAAAGAAAGAACAGTCTAGAGGAATTTTCTCCTTTTTGAATAATTTTGGAGAGTAACAAGTGAAAGAACAATGCGTAAAGAAAACATCAATAAAGGCCTGGCAGAGGGTGATAGGACTTGCTATGTATGCCACCCATTCATTCCCTATATAGGTGCAGAATCTGGACCCAAACTGAAAATTAAACTGATGTGATAGCCAAATCCTGCTTTGGGAACAAGTGGGTTTGGATTTAACAGTACTCAAAACACAATGTTGGACTTGATGGGTTGGACTTATGGGTCCCCTCCAACTTGGAATATTCTATGACATTTTCACCACATTTTGTCTGCTTTTATGAAAACAGAAACTTCTTGACTTTTAAACTGAAGACCAAAAGACACCGACTTTGTGATCTAGAAACAAAGCAAGGAGTTAAGTGGCCTCCTAGTGTGTTCAGCCTACAGCCCCGAGGCTGTCTGGTGGCTGAGTCATAATTCCAGGTTTACCCCATTTTAAATTAGGACAAAAATAAAAGTCAGCTGCTAAGTAAAGGACAGATGTTCCTTACAGATCACAGTTCATATACGAAAACTGATTAAACGTTACTTTTGCTTTCTGTCACCATTTATTTGACAAAGAGTTGTCTCCATGCATTTCTGGTTGGCTGTCAGGTTGTATCACATCACTGCCAAACCCAGGATGGAAAGTTTTTTTTATTTATCTTCAGTCTTTTTATTTTTCTTCAGTCTTACATTATGCATGTGTTTTCTTCTCAGTATGTATGAGTTTTGGTTGTTATCCTTCTGTAAGCATGGTCTGGCTCTGGGCTGAGGAGCCTTGCCGAGAGATGGCGTGCCTTAATTCTACTCTTGTCTGTGTGCATCAGTAAGTTTGTGCCGTGCAAACAAACCTCCAGTTCAAAAGTTGCATGTGATTTCCATAGTGATGCTGAGATAGAGATGAATAGGCAATTCAGAGATTTATAAAAGGCTGGCAGCTTATGAGGATACTGTTGCTCTAATGCATAAATCTGACAGTGAAGGATTCTGTGTTGCATTTGGAGAGGAGGAAGGTATTTGGAGTGCAGTTAATACAATTTTTAACCAAATAGAACTGCCTCAAATATGCTTCTCACTGCTCAGTAGTCCTCCCCTCATGGTAGGGAGCAGAAGTCTCTTTTGCTTTGCTTTTCATTCTTCCCACCCATTCATTCCCTGTCCACCTGTGCTACGTGAAATGGCATTACTTCACTTATCTCTCTGCTTTCATTGCACTGGGGTGGTATGAGAGAGCACCAATGAAGGAAATTCCACTTTCTGAGCCCTATATTCTGCCCTATAATTTCTCTGGGGAATCCTAAAAGCATCGTTACTTTGGATATATTTGTCTACCAACAATATTTTTATTGGAGACCAGACTCGAATTGAGAGCTGTGCATTTTAGGAAAGTAGAAGTCATCAGTTCAGATATGATCTTCAGAATTACTTGGTGTTCTTAGCAACTAAAACTGCGTATATGAACTCACCAGTCCCAAACCAAGCAATGAAATGTGCATTGCCACCAGGTATGTTGTTTATTCTCTGTATTTAGATTTAATATCAAGGGACATCAGTGTTATATCTGTAATGATCTGCTTGTAAAAAGTGCATCTTGTTTTCTGCTTAGTAACTTCATTTTTAAAGACAATATTTTCTTGCTTTTCAAATGATAACAAAAATGAATTAATTTAATATTATGTTGGAATGTTTCTTAACAGCTTTTTTTCTGATTTTAACAGTATCATTTTTATTTCAGACTGAAAGATTCCAATCTAATGATCGAAGATCAGTCCTATAAAATGAGCCCCAAAGCAAAGAGAGCAAGACAGCATTTGGTATCTGAGGACAAAGAGAATGAAGCCATAGACTATTCAGTACCTATTTTCACAGGACGGTATGTGCACTTTTTCGTTTCTTGACAACTTCTGATATTTTATTAATGAATTCTAAAAAAACAAATCTTTTTTTTTTTTTTTTTTCCCTCCCCTCTCCTGGACCTTGAGGAGGTTGTTTGCACTTCACATGAATGTTAAAAAGGTGTTAACTAACTGGCAGAAAGTCAGTCCTGGGGCATCCAGAACCAGGACAAATGGATCCAGGTGTCTGGACTTTGTTTCAAACGTGTCACCAGGGACACTTTCTATGAAATTACGATATAATTATAACTCCACTTACTGAGAACTGGATGAGCATGCTGTCCACGTTATTTAGCTTGTTCTGGTGGTTTAAAGGCTTGTAAACCAGTGTCCCCTGTCAATCATATTAACAATGAAACTATGTGCCAATGTTTTGTCCTGGCAGAGAGAAAACCTGGGATGAAACCAAGTAGTTTCTCAAATCTGTTATAATGATTCATGTAGATCTCAAGTGTTGGTGGTATTTATTGCACAGCTACTACTGACGTAATATGTTTTACAGCAGCAGTGTCCTCAGCAAAGCTGAATGTGAACTTTGTGTGAAAGCCAGAACCAACACAAGCAAGGAAGCTCCCTTGTCCTTTTCAGGATATAGCATAATGATTCTGCTAGGAATATGTGATAGATCAAGTCTGGCCATTTGTTCACACTGATCCATACCAGGGTGGGGTGTGGAAAAAAGATGTCTGATTTGAAGCCAGAAGAAAAGTTTCTTGCCCACCCTCAATTGAACAGAAGCCTTCCTCTAGCTTGTCTTTCTTCTGCCATGCATGTTTTTCATGGGATGTTTCCACACTGTTTCTGGGAGTTGGTACCCTGTGCCTGTTGCTTAGTCAGCACTCAGAACACAGCATCACCCCTGCTCTGTGGCCAGACTCGTGCTTTTGTGTGATGCTGACTTCCACTTTGTCAGTGGGAGATGTTATTCTTTTGCCTTCTGAGCATTCTGCTTTTGTGATGAGGCCAGCAGTTCTGGTTTTTATTCATTCCTTTCAACCATCCTGGAATATTTTTTTAATTTCCCTTTATATGTTTCCATGTCAGATTCACTTCCCACCAACATTCAGAAGTGCCCACTGTTGCATTTTTCAAGTATTTCTCAGGGTTTCAGCTATATATATTCTGTGATAGAAATACATAAATGTGTCTCACATGAAGCTTACAGCAACATATTTTCAAGGCTTCTCACTACCTATATACTTCACTCAGCTTTCACCATCTGTGTCCCATACCCTCAAATATTAATGTGCTCTCTTTTTATTTTGTCTGCAGTCTACAGAAGTAAAATTTATAGTGTTGGGCAACTGATGGCTCTGCTCCTGGATGGTGATCTTAGATTGTACACAGGCTCCTCTGATCTTAATAAAGCATGACTTTTCTTTTTTTATTTCACTTTTTTTGTACACTGAATATGATAAAATCTAATTCAGTGTGATAATGTGCAGTTTCATTTGCTTGTGTCTGTGTGATACCTGCAGATACTAAGTTAAAAGATACTGACAGATTCTTGCCCTGTACTGTTTATCTTCTTACTACCATGGGAATCAATGTCACTTTTTGCACTTGGCAATTCCAAGTTGTCTGTGATTTTGTGCCACCGAAGTGGCCCAAATAGATTTTCTGCAATTACTTAAAAAACATAAAAAAGGCACGTGATGCCAACTCAACAGGGCATGAAATGTTTGGGATACTTTTTTAGGCTTTTGTTCTGTTGGCATCATGTCCATAAGCACGTGCCATGGCTGTGGAAATTGCATGCCACATTCCTGTCAGGTATTTATTTCTGTTTGAAAGATAGCAGCTGAATCATGTGCATGTTATATGTCATTCCCAAATTCCCCTGTGAAAGGGATGTGTGGCTTCCCATGGGGAGATAGCTTTGACAAGGGATACTTCTTTACAAAGGTCAGCTCTACGTGCATTCATTGGTGCTGATGCCTGGGCTGCTGGATGACCTTCAGCACTGTGTCACCCTTTCTGTGATTTGATTCTATTTCAGACCATCAGATTCTGCTGGAAAAAGAAATATGTATCCCTCATGTAGATTATTCAGTTCATACATCTTTTTCTGAAATACATAGCCTTATGCTTGCAAGATAAAATTAGGGAGGGCTAGCCATTATTCCAGGTAATAAGACTTGATGTACTGTCGTAGGTGCTAAAAATACTTGGTATGGGTTGTGGGACTCTTTGCAGCCACTAACAAGTATCAGCCAAAGAACTGCAGATGGTACATACTCTGTAAATAGTAATTTGTATGTGTCATTTGGAGTTTGATCTTGCTTCTGTTTGAAAATGATATTCTATTGAAACCCTTGAGACATGGCTGCAGAATCAATTCTTAAATGGTACAGTCTGCTGCTTCTGATGCATTCATCCTTGCAGGAAGCATGTTTTTTCTTTGATCTGGGAAGATTACAGCAAGGAAAAAATGCTTAGCAAAACTAAATATTTAATACTGTTGATCAAAAACCTCTAGGGATCATTACTGCAGACAGCTAGGCTGAGTCCTGTATTAGGCTGAGGATTCATCAGCTCCCAGGAGGTGCTTTATTCCTTGAGGTTCATATTGTGAAGTTGCTGAGATCTTAATTGCTGTTATCAAGGAAGTAATGTCAGTTTGCCTTTGAAACAGAATGCCACTGATTTGTTAAAACTGAATATAGATAACTGCATTCATATGCATTAAATCAGGCTTTCAAAATTGTCCTTAGAAATTTGTCATATCTCTGCAGCTCAGATATTTCTGAGAAGAGTCGATGTGCTGGTGTGAAGAGAATTGTCACACTGATACGCTTAAGAATCACTGAAGTAGACAAACACAGAACGGCAGAATTTGAACATGTGAGGGAAGTCAAAGCTCTAAGCTGTTAATAAAGCTGTTAGCCTTTTGACAATCTTTTATGAATAATTATTCTTACAGCATACTCCACTGCTTGACTGTATTGCTTCTCACTGAATTGACATTGTGTTCTTGATGTAAGGGGTTGGACAGTTAGTTATGGGCTTGAATCCAAATTTTCTTTAATGTTGAGATGTCCTATCAAATGCATAATGTTAGTAATCTTAGAGAAAACAGAAAATCATTTTTATATGTAGCAGAAGCATTTTATAATCAAACAGCAAGGCTGTGCTTGGGTGTATTCTGGAAATAAACAATGGCTTTTCTCTTTGTAGTGTTAACAGGAAAGCTTGTCCAGTACTCAAACGGAGCCTCTTTTCATTCTGCCATCTAATGTTCATAAAATCTGCATAAAATGGCTTGGGTTGGAAAGGACCTTAAAGATCATCCATTTCCCATCCTTCTGCCTTGAGGAGTTGGATCAGGCTGCTGAGGGTCCCATCCAGCCTGTTCTCAAGCCAGGGATGGAACATCCAAAGCTCTTCTGAGCAGCCTGTGCCAATGCCTCAGTGCTTTTTCTCCTGACATCTAAACTAAATCTCCTCTCTTTTAGTTTAAAGCCATTTCCCCTTGTCCTGTTGTTACCACTCCATGTAAAAGGTTGGTCTGCCTTAAAGTACTGCAAGGCCACAATGAAGTCTCCTCAGAGCCTTTCCTTCTTCAAGCTGAAAAAGCCCAACTTCCTCAGCCTGTATTTGTAGCAGAGATGTTCCAGCCCCCTGACCTAAAGCAAATAAAATCAGCAGAAAGGTAGTAATGTTTCTCCTTAGGTCAAGGAACTCTCACTGTATATGTATTACTATAGAATCTATGATGTCCTGATGGTGTCAAAACACCATGACCCCAATAGTACTTCCATGTGTGCATCTGAAAATAGGATTGGAGCTGTTGGGAATACAAGTTCTTTGCATCCTAATTTGTAGAAATGTTTCAAGGAAATCCTTATTCATCTCCTTAAAAATGCTTGGAAGGTCAGTCATTCTGCAAACATTAAAGGATTGAATTTTTTATGAACGAAGAGAGCTTGTGTCATATATTCAGTGTTCTTCTATTAAAAATAAATGAAAAAAAGATCAGAAAGAAGAATATTGTTATACTGCTACAATTATCCTGTCCCCTTGATATTCTTACTACTAATGCTATGCCTGTAAATCACTGTCCTTTGAGCCTAACAGATATGTGGATGTGCTTTAAACTCATCATTGTAGCAATGGAGATAATAATTGTTAAGTGGAAATTTTGCTTGGCATGTCTGTACAGAGGGGCACTGAAAATGGCCATGACTTAAAAGAGGGACTGAATACTCTGTCATTAATCACTACGCTTTCGTGTTTCTGCTTTGAATACCTTTGGTCTGTTACAAAAGTAATGATCTTCAAGGCAGAGATACGTTATGAAATACCTAATATGAAAGACCTTTAATATCCTCTGTAGTTGGCTGACTGAATAGAAAATATAAGTGCAATATGTTCTCTGCATTTTCCAATATAATTCTGCTTTTTAAATCTTCTTTCAGTGAAGTAAATATCAGTGGGATCACAGATACAGAAGAAGAAAGAATTAAAGAGAGCACTGCCTACGTTGCCAAAAGGAACCTCTTTGCAACCGGTGAAGGAGTTAGTGTCAGCAAGGTGGCCAAGTCTGTCTCTGAAGAGGAACATCATGAGAAAAAATCAAGGAAAGTAGCGATACGGGAGTCTGCAGAGCGTGTGGCCCTGAAGAAAACGGTAAAATAATGGAAGTGAACACGTAGGCAGTACTCAGTGCAGGTCTTCTTTGGTGTTTGTAAAGAGCCTCTCACATCACAGCCCTGATTTACACTACGAGCAATAGCGGTTATGTTAGTAAATCCCAAGGTGTTTTCAATGAAGGTATTTTCAGTGACTTAAACTCTAGTTATCTTAGCATTGGGTGGTAAGAAAAGAGACATCAGGAACTGTAGTAATGCTGGGAGAGAGGGATTCAGAATGGAACAGGGGAATACTCTTTCTGCTGTGCTCGCATCTGTGGAAGTGGCACAGCATCCCCCATCTGAACCACAAGGCAGTTTTTAGGCAGTACTTGGCAATAAGAAGGTGATGGGATAATTCCTGACATTTTATGGCCTGGGGACAAGCTTGTCTAAAGTTTATTACAGTGTTTTAATTACAGTGTGCAAATAAGGGAGGCAGTTGTCAGCATCTGGAACTGAATGTCTAATTCTGGGTAGCTTTGATGCTTCTGCACAAATTGTTAAAAAAAGTAATCAGATGGTAGTTATGAATATGTTATGACCAGAGTGGGAGAATGTATTAAATAGAAATACATGTTGTTTAGGTTATTTATTAATGTTTTATGCAGAAGAATTGGCAGTATGATCCTAAAATATCCTCATGACGTGAGGTTGGAAAGGCTGTAAACATTTGAAGGTTAAAAATGCAAAACCATCTTGAAAAACTGGGAAGCAGTGAGGTGAATTGTTGTAACACATAGAAATTGCTACACACAGAAGGAAAAGAATAAGCAAGAGGAATGCCTGATCAGGTGCAAGTACCAAGGAGTCTAGGAGTTATAATAGGTCACAAATTTAATATCAGTTAAAATCAGGATTCTATTGCATAAAAACAAATGCCATTCCAGAGTGTATTAACAAAATTATTGTCAATAAAACACAGGAGAAAATTATTTAATTGTATTGGAAACTGTTGGACCTCTGGTAATGCTTTGAAGAAAGCAAGATTTATAGTATATTAATATTTTTTTTTCTGGGTCTGAGAATAGTCAGGCGGAATGGTTGCCCAGGCATAATGGAAGATCCCCCAACAGGAAAGGTTTGAGAGCAGGTCTGTCAGAGATGCTTCAGGCTTACATGACCTTGCATTAGAGAAGGAGTACAGAAGACATCTGAATTCCATTATTTCACCTTTCACTGTGTATATCAAAACCAAAATTTAAACATGGAGCATTATTTTATTTAGGATCATTTTGAGGGGAAAATTTAGTTAAACGAAATCTAGTTATTTTTAAACTATGAACTCTTGAATATAAAAACTTCTTTGTGTGTGTTCAAGAGAGATATATACATTGAATATTCTTATCTGGATTTTAGATTGAAAATTGCTTTTTAAAAATTCAAAACCACTTTTTCAGTTATTAATGTTTTGCACTTGTAAATAATGAAGTTTATAATGAGATGTTTCTTTTCCAGCTAGAAGATACTCAGGCATTTCACAAAAAGTTGAATCAAGATAAACTTTTACATCCTCCTGAGTTTGTTATTGAACCTCGTTCTCACACTATCTGGGAAAAGCAAAATGTCAAATTTCATTGCACAGTGGCTGGCTGGCCAGTACCCCGTGTTACATGGTAAGTTTGTATCTCTGTCACTCAAAGTCACCCCAGTAAATGCAGCGTATTTTGCAGTAAAATTACATTATAACTGAAAATACAGGTTTAGAGGCCACCCTAAGCCTTTCGAATCGTGGTACAAAAACAAAGCAAAATACTAAAAGTATTTGGTAGCAACGATACATGCATATTTTTCATATTAACATCTAACATACACTTTCTGTCTTCTGATTAAGGAAAAATAGCAATGCAATTTATCATCAGTACTATCCATAAAAGAATGTTTTCCACATACTTGTCTTTAGTCCACCAATGCCATTAAACAAAGCATTAACAAGATCTAGCTGCTTTACTGCTTGGCTATTGAGCAGATGTAGTACTCAGCCTCCATGAAAATGAAATCTCACTACACCAACTGTTCATAGAGGTCACATCCTGTTTATCTGAAGTCAAATGCTACGGATAGATGTAGGATTAGCCAAATCTTCTGAAATTTTGGAGTCTCCTGGAAGCTTTCCATTTACTAGATCTTTGGATTAAATCATTATTGTAAGAACTCCATATTTCATATCCATTCATATCCATTATTTATCATAGCTGAAGGTGAAATTTGACTCTTGAGTTAAAGTTTATCCTGAATGAAATTTAGGTTTAACTTAATTAACAGTGACTTGTGAAGCTTTACAGTCTTGCTGTTTATTATTTTTCTAATTTTTCTAATAACTCTTATGCCACGCAATCAAGTTGCTAAGACAATAGATAATAACTTTTCTTCAAACGTAAAATGAGATTTGGTACTCACTCTTTTATTTAAAAGATTCTTCTAGAATGTGTATATAACCATTTGGATGTGTACATAAAATGAACAACAAATAAGCCCATGCTCAGTGTTAAGCATTAATTAGGAATGCGTCCTGTGAAGATTCTGTTTGTGGAGACAATGGAATACAGCTATTATATCATGGTGTCAAGTAATAATCATATTTTGTAATGAATTACTTGAGTTGCTTAAGGGAATCTGTGTTTATTTAGGTTTTAAAAATTTTAATTTCAGGACTTAACAAAAAGAACCACTAAAAAGTACATTAATAGGCCAGAGCTGATGCTCAGAAAGTTTTTCTTTAGACTAGGCAACCAATAGGTAGGCTCTTTACAGACACATATTTACAGTTGCTTAAGAGCTGTAAATGCACTATTTTTATGTTCCTCTTAATGGAGGACAAATGCTTCAATTCTGGTCACTGTTGAATATGAAGAATGTTCAGCTACATTTATGGCTGTAATCCAGCTCTGTAACCTGAAGTTAACCAAGAAGTCAAAAGCAGGGCCATTTGCATTTTGCTTGAGATCCACCTTGTCCTGAAAACTGGCATGCTTAAAAACCAAGCTTTCAGTTATTTGCCTTTGCTCTTGCTGTGAACCACCCTTTCATCTACATGCTAAATATGGATGGTAGAAATTAATGCTTTTTTTTATAATACACTTGAATTCTAAAGGGACTTTAGTTTGCCATGGGCTACTAATGGGAAAAATGAGTTCAACCCTTTCAGCAGGTGTCTTTGCTCAGAGTTACAGAACAGTACTGACCTGGTTCTGTCAGCTTGCATTCAGAATTTTTAACTAAATGTCAGTTGTATTTTCCAAAGAGTCATCCTTTGTATAAGCAATGAAGACCTTTTCATGCTGTGCATGATAAATTAGAAAGCTTCACAGACTTTCTCTAAAGAAAATCTTACTGTGTGTTGCAGCTGTCCTGACTCCCTTAGAAAAAGCTTATGGAAAACCCAGGACATTTGAAACCAGTAGGAGAAAGCATAAACTATCAGTGCGTAATGACAGTGGGAGGTTGCAGTCCAACATTAGCTAATGACTTGGCTCTTCTGGAATCTGTGTTTCCAGAAATAACAAGTGGTCCTTCTAAGATGAGCACTATTCTTTCCATAGACAAATATAAATCAGCAAAAATTAAATCATTTTTAAAAGTAATTTGATAATGAACACGGATGAAGTCAAATTTTTCTCCTTGCTAGAGTAACTCAGTTAAAACTTAAAGCTGCACAGCACCACGTGCCACCGAATGCCTTCAGTTCCAACAGGATCTAAAGGATGCCCTTGGATCAAGTCCAGTCATGTTCTATAGGATTTCGCATTCACTAAAAAATACTAAGAATTGGTAACATTATTCTATTTTCTAAACTATTTGACACAGGACAGAGAATATAAAGCTGCTCAGATGTTGCCAGTCCTGTGTGTGCCATTGTGCTGAAGAGTAGTGGCAGTTGGATTCACTTGCAGTGGAACAGTACTGTAGGTCAAGATAATGAAGTAGAAGATCTGTAATGAAGTCAAGTAGATCTGTGCATTTGGAGTCCAAAACAGAGGGTACTGCCCTGCATCAATTCCCTTTTCTTAGATGTTTTACTGAGAAAATGATTGGGATAACAATCATTGAGTGATTTTTCACTCACTTTGGTGCTTGGATAAATCACAGTGTATTACACTGCTTAAATATTTATTGCCAGGGAAATATTCTTTATTCCACAATGCTGAATGTGCTATAAGGCAATGCTCAGCTTTAGAGATGAAACAATCTCATAGTATTTTTAGTAAAAAGTACAATTGCATGTTACTGATTTCTTTGGTGAAGTGGGGCATGCTATGGCAACATACTGGTTCTCCATCCTAGTTGATAATTGTGAAATAAACTGGCATTTAAAATCAGAAATGAAGAAGCAAAACTCTTTGGCTGGCTATCTTTTATGACTTATGCAAATAAAGGTTTATTTGGGCTATGTCAAAGTATGAGATGCAGATATTTGTCATGTTTTGTATTTCCACTTCCCTCATCTACACAATATGGGGAAATCTATACTAAAGGGTCACACAATCTCAGAGCACATTCTTTCTTTACAGACTGCAAACCAAACCTAACACTGAATTGTATTCAGTACTTTTCAGTTTTATTAGACTTCTGTTGCCAGTTCACCCCATGTCACTACTACTCTCTCAAGATTTGAAGTTTTATCTAGTAACTTCATGTACTGTTCAGAATGAGTGACCTTTTAAGCAGTGGTTGCTGATGAAGAATCTAGTACTGAATTCTCCATCTGTGAGTCTCGTGCAAATGTTCAAATAAATTCTGAAATCAGCAGTCAGCTTGTTATTGATCAGTATTGGCTCATTCCTACAAATTACTTCCCAGGAATTTGTGACCTGTAAATTTTTCCTGGTACATACCTGTACCAGAAAATACTGATAGTATATGCATGTAAAAGAAGAGTTGGTTTTGGTATTACAGTTTTTGCTAGTTTGCACTTGCTGCTTTGCACTTTCTCTTGAAGACAATTTTTTTTTTTTTTTACCAGTCCAATTCTGTCTGCTTTGAGGATTACACACACACACAAATAAAAAACCAAAACCATAAAATGAGTAATTTCTTAAATGGCATTTCTGTGAATATGCAGGTTCTAAAACTAGATCAAATAATCAAATATGCAACTCAAACCAAATATGCACAGTAGCTAGTAAACACGGACGCTGCAGAATTTGTATTATTCGCAGTTCAGAAAACACTGAAACATTTCTTGTGTGAATTCTCCATTCTTTAGCATGTAATAACCTGAAATTCATAGTAATATAAGCTTATTTTCATTTTGTTCAAGAACTATTTTTCCTTTAGCAAGAAAATAAAATTCACATGGGGCAGGTGAAAGAGAAAGAGAGAAGTTAAGCTTCTAAAGATATGTCTTCCCAGGATAAACTATAATTTATCTAGGAGAAATATGCAGAAATTGATTCAGTATTTCAAATACCATTTATGTGACCTTTTATAATAGGTATATTCTTCCACTTTTGATGTATTGTTTCTTTGCTTTTCTGTAGGTACAAAAACAATGTCCCCATTGATGTACAGGCTCACCCTGGCAAATATACCATTGAAAATCGATATGGATTGCACTCCCTGGAGATCAGCACGTAAGGGAATGTTTTGACCATTTAACAAATAACTTAAACTGAAATGTTGCTATAGATTGAGACTTGCAGAATGGGACATATCTCTTGGGGATGAGAAGTATCAAGTTTATACAGCTGAGAATAACACTGTCTGTTAAATACTGAAGTAGTTCTGGTTCTCCTTAGTAGAAGAATTGAAGTATTGAATTTACCTAATTGAGTAATTGGTCTATATTTTTCTGTTCGTGGTTGACTCAGAAACGTACTTTTTCCATTCGTCCTGCATAAGTACAGTTAAATATGAGAAAAATCTAGTTCAAGGTAAAAATTTTAGCTAATGGTTTTCCAGGTATAGAAAGATCCTTACTGAAAAGAGGAATGGGACTGAGTTCTCACTTGTACACACACAGACACACACACACACACACAAAGACCTTTAGTAGTACTCCTCTTCCCATTTGGAAATTTTTGCAGTAATATTCTGTCAAAAATCACTGACAATCAGGGATGATATAGTTTTGACTATCTAGATAATATTTGGTACCTTTTGAAAATATTGTATTTACTGTTTCTAGAGTTTCTGCATTAGGCATATCTCCACGGAAGAGAGTAAATTAGAGAAATCTTGGAGTTAATGGATGAGTGTTGTCAGATAATTTTTTTCCTACTGCTGCTGTGATTTTAATTTCAAATCGGAAAGAGTATTTAATATTATTTTTTTTCATTGTTTTTTGAACACTGACAAAAACTTAATGTCCAGAACTAATCCAGTGTCCAGAGCACATCTCCTGCACTTTTACTAATTTGTAGATTTTACCAGATGTCTGAAGGCTTTTTGGGTCTAGAACAAAGGGTTTGCCAAATAGTTCTGGGTGTCCAACCTAACCATTTCTGTCATTTTAGATGTGATTTTGATGACATTGCTCAGTACCGGGCATCTGCTATGAATGTTAAAGGAGAAGTTTCGGCTTATGCTTCCCTTGTGGTAAAGAGTAGGTTTGCAAAATATTTCTTTTTTTTTAATGCATATTTCTATTTCTGTGGCTCAGGGAGCCTTTACCCCTCAGTGATAGTGACTGCTCTTTTTCTCTTTGTGCATTCAGGGTATAAAGGAGAAATTGATGCCAGTCATTTGCATGCTGGGACGTTTTCCATGCCTCTGAGCCGTAAGTTGCAATACACGCTTGTTTGACACATTCACTTGAGGCAGTGACATCATGACAAATGAATAGGCAGAATATTTTGTAACATTATTTGAAAAAAGAGCAGGTCATCTTTAGGTATGAGCTCTTCCATTGCAGATGTGTTAATCTAACTTGCTGGGGGAAATGACGTTGCCTTCTAGGTCTGTGGCTATTTGTTCACACATGAAGCATCATTTTAGTATTGCACTTGGCTGTGAAATAATATCTGTCAAAAAGAGAGACTTCTTGCAATACGTAAAAACATCTCCAGGAAAAAAGGGTTAGGGGGTGCATGTGTGTCAGTAGACAGCTGACTTAATAGATTTTCTCTGCTGCTATGTGAATTGCATGTGGTACAATTGCGTATAGCCAGGAGCAAATGTGAATACATTGGCTGTATCAAGTTAAAAAAAATAAATAAATCATTGTTGTTTTTGTCTTTTTTTTTTTGTTTTACTTGAGCATCTAGCTCAGAAGAGCTAGAAATCTAAAAATCAGTTTGAAGTGATTTACAGTATTGCATGAATACATGAATCAGAAATGAAAAGAAAATCCAACAGTTTATGTATGCTGAGTGACTTAAGGGCCCTAAGCCCTTATTGCAGCAACACAAGTAGGATGAGAGGTGTGCTGCAAAGGTATACGAGAAGCCCTTTATTTACTAAAGCTCTGAAATAACAGAAGAAAGGTCACTGATAACATTACAAAACACAAGGCCGTGAGTTTTGAATATTATTTGGAATTTATCATTTGGTAATGGAAGTGAAAGATATCAATGTGTTTGTGTGCACTGTTCACAGGAAGACTGTGAGCTACTAGCATAGGGCAGTTGTGGAAAAGGAAAAAATGACCCTAAATGTTATCAGCAGAATTGTTTTCAGGAGAATGATGAAAGCACCTATGCCGGACATAGGTATAAAGCACATAGGATATTCTGTCTCAAATCTAGCTGTAGATATCCCTGTTCATTGCAGGGGAGCTGGACTAAATGATCTTTAAAGGACTCTTCCAACTCGAACATTTCTGTTGTTCAGGTTACACAACATCAGGAAAGGTAAATTCAGGAACAAGCACAGGCCACCTGAAAGCCCAAGGGAGTGGAGAGCTCATTTTTATTTTAAAAGTTCATTAAAGAGATCTACTTAGGCTAAAAATATGAAAGCTGAGTGGACACATAACTGTCCAGAGATGGAGCAAAGAGTTAAAGAGGAAAATGAAAAAGGAGTATACACTGAAGATAATTTGACCTGAATACATTAGTAGTCATAAATAGAAGTAAGTTTAAATTACAAGCATGCACATTATGATAAAATGATAAAACACCAAATCTGAAATTGTGGAAATTCCGGAATGAAATTCTGAAGGAGCTTTTCCCTGAAAAACTGAACTGGAGTTTTATGAATAAAGAAAAAGCTGTTTCCCTGTGATATGTACGTGCCTGGATTATGTGACCCTGCAATACACTCTCAATATGGATAATGAATATATGCTATTTCTGTTCATATCTTAAACTTTACCTGAGCTTGTATTTATAATCAGTGGGCACTACTGCTTACTATTCTTATCATGAAATAAAAGAATAAGTAAGCAGCCAGACTTTTTTCCCTTGTACAGTTGGTGTTACCCCACATGGCTTCGCTTCCAGGTTCGAAATCAAATTTATTGACAAGTTTGAGGTAACGTTTGGGAGAGAAGGTGAGACGATGAGTCTGGGCTGCACGGTTGTCATCAGTCCTGATATCAAGCGCTTCAAACCAGACATTGAGTGGTACCGCAATGGTGAGAACTTTTGACAAAAAGAAATATAAATTTGTTCAATGTAAATGACTTTTAACTTTTTTTTTTCTTTTGTAAGCTTAAATACTAAAAACATTTCATCAACTCTAACTTCTCTGTGATGCATCAACATAGTTTCTGTAGCTTTTCCTATTTATTACATTTCTTAAGTAATTACACGAGGCTGTTGTGCAGTAGCCAACAAAAAGCTGTTACATTCTAAAGTTAAACTCTGAGAGCAAAGTTGGCTTTCAGCTCTGACTGTCTTTGAAGATAGAAAATTGAACAGTAGGGATGGTCTCTTGTGTATTTCCAATCTATTTCAAGCTATACACAGCATTCAGCTAATTCTCATTACAAAATTCTCTGATTTCTAGGTGTTCTTATTACACCATCCAAATGGGTCCAGATGCACTGGACTGGGGAGAGAGCTTCCTTAACACTGACTCATGCGAACAAGGAAGATGAAGGTCTTTACACTCTGCGTGTTGTGATGGGAGAATACTATGAGGAGTATAGTGGCTATGTCTTTGTTCGAGGTAAGACACTGCTTATGAACCACATCACTGGAGAAATGAGGAAAACCTTTTGGCAAAGTAAATCTCAGTCATTTTAGGTGTTTATTTCCAATTTGTATATATATTCTTTTACATAACGCAATAGCTTACATAAAATGAATTATATTAATTTATATAAATATTTTATACAATTGATTTTAGCATTACAGCTTCCAAGTGTTATCTTTGCAAAAACTGAGTATTCCTCAAGCTCTGATGTCACATTTTAGAAAGCTTGTAAACCGTATTGGCATTTTGGAGATCAGATTTTTGTTGTTGATGTAACTTCATCCTTTCCCAGCTTCAGCTTGTGAACAGTACTGAACATAATTCAAAAAACGATAATTCTATAAAGTAACTTTAAAATGTATTTTTGTAACCATCTCACACTTGCTGAACTGCAGATCAAGATTTTTCTGCTTCAGCTGGGAGGTTTTCACTAATGCATAATGCTCAAAAAAAAAAAAAAAAATACAGTAGAAGGGAAATACAGAGATCACCACCTGGAGAAGAATAACCACATGCACCATTACAGACTGGGGACTGACTCTTTGGAAAGCAGCTTTGCAGAAAAGGGTCTTGGGATCATAGTAGGGTGAAAATGAACCAGCAATGTGTCCTTGTGGCAAATGCCAGTGATATTCTGAGCTGCATTAGGAACAAGGTCACCAACAGGTGGAGGGAGTTGATCCTTCCCTTCTGCTCATCACTGGTAAGACATGTTTGGAGTGCCAGGTCTAGTTCTGGACTCCCAGTACAAGAGAGACATGGACATACTGGAGAAGGTCCAGTGAAGGGTTGCAAAGTGAAAGGAATGTCTTACATGTGAGGAAAGGCTGAGAGAGCTGTGTCTGTTCTTTCTGGGATTGAGAGGGATCAAAGGTTATCTCATCATTGTGTACAGATGCCTAATAGGAGGAGTAATGAGTATAGAGTGAGACACTTCTGTGGTACCCAGTGACAGGACAAGAGACAATGAACAAAATGGAAAAGTCCATTTCAACATTTCAAATTTAAGAAAATACTTTTTTACTATGATGGCTGTTGAATATTGGTACAAGTTGCCTGGAGAGGCTGTGGAGAAGATATTCTTGAAGATATTCAAAGCCCAACCAGACACAGTCCTGGACCACTGCTCTGAGTATTTCTTCTGGAACAGGGATGGGACCTGATGGACACAGAAGGCTCTACCAACCTCACCCTTCTGTGATTCTGTAAGGAAAAGCAGAAAATGTGACTCCTGAATTTAGGTACAGGATTAAAATGTCATTCCTCTGGGTGTTGTTTGCTTGTACCATGAAAAACTTCCTTGTATTTCTATTAGAGCAAGTATTTCTTTAAGAAGAGCAGTGGCTTATCAGGTTACGTGCTGACTCTATATCTGTCCCAGCTGCTAAAAGCAGCTGAAGCATGTAATGCTAATTCAAAAGACTCTGGAAATCTTTGGCTCTGAGAATGTGTTCAGAGTGGTAACGTGTTCCCAAGTTTAGCAAAGCTGTGTGAGATAACAGCCTGCTTGGAAAATATAACTGAATCAAATGTTTTTGTCGCCCGAGGAAAGAGTTTGCTGGAATGTGTGTGTGAGACTGAGCAACAAGGAGAAGAATTAGGGATTGTTTTCCTTGCCTGGTTTTAAAACTGGGCTACCATATAAATAAATGATTACCTTCATTCCTGCTACATCTTCTAGCACTTACAACAATGAAAATATGACCTGACTGTGAACCAGCTGCCTCTTTCACAAGAGTATCTCAGTAGCCAACTGATGCACTTGCCAAATTCTAATTAGATTAATTATATTCTACTTACATTCTCTGCACAGCCTCATTTGGCCAGCATACTTCTCACTGCTCCTCCTAATTTGTAGACAAGTTCAGTACAAACTCTTAGCTAGCTGCTGAAGTGCAAGGAGCTGTCTTTTTGCATCACATGTAGAAATCCTCCTGCAGTGATGGAGGTGAGCAGGGTGCTCATCAGGCTTGTAACACCAGGACTTGGCAGGTTCAGAGAAAATGGGTTCCTCTTACCATGGTTACAGGTCAGCATTCATCAGCAAGCAGCCAGGGATGAAATCCTAGCACCAGTGAGACTGATGAGCAATGCTGATTGTCCCAGCTATTTCCTAGTCTGTCTTGGAAAGAAACTGTGATGTCTCATGTTCTATCAAGCAAGAGATATAGATAATTATAATTCTGTAATTCATAGGGAGATTATTGAAGATATCTTGTTATTACCCTTAATGTTCTTATTATTTTGCTATGTTAAATGCATTGGTTACTCTATGCATTTTAAAAACTATACCGAGTTAGCTGTAGTTAGAAACTGAACTCAAAAACTTTGGCACAGCTTCAAAAATTCTATGTAATGCAACTATGCCTAAAAGGGAAGATACAGGGAGGAGTGTTTGTTTGTTTTTTTCTCTGAAGACTACTGCTTTATTTAATCAAGCATGATAAACACTCATATACAGCATTTATTTCTGAAAGCCAAAAGCAGAAAAAACTGGAATTGGCATAACTTGTAATACAGAATCCTGTAGCACCCTGAAGCATCAAACATTTGTAAAAGTATGGGGTTTAGATGGAATGCAAGAACAGCATTTGTTTGCAAAACATTTTTCTTTACATATATACAGCTGTCTTAAGTCAGATTGTCTTTAGAAGTAGTGAGGCTTGAACGTTACTTGTGACTGTAGAAACTCTGTTCTATAGAGGAAAGATATCTCTTCTTTAAAAATCTTTCATATAATCTTTTTGCAAGAGTTATTTTGCCCTACAAGAAAATTGCTACATCACTCAAGCTGAATTATGACTGTGTAAACAGAGTATTTACCAATTCCCAGCACTATGCTCTGATTTTTAAGCTTTGGGTAAGATTTGTCTGGAAGCTGATGTTAGAGTCTGGGCCCTTTGACACCGACAATCTCATACTTGTGACAAATGCTTGAAAGAAACAATATACTCATCCTAAGGAAAGTTATATTCCAAAATCTGTGGTGTAATTCAACTTCAAAGGGTTTTGATACCTTTTCAGATCATGTCCATCCCAAGCCAAACAATGAAAGACTATGTGTGAAGGTATTTCATTCATTTGAAAAATAAACCAGGGTTCAGATTGGTCTTTTCTTCAGCAGATGTCTTTGTTGTGTGTCTGAGTGTCCAGCAAACAGTACTTTAACAAGGCTGATCGTTACAGAGGATGACCTTGGAAAAAAACAACAACAACAAAAATGACACAAAGGATTGAAGAGAAGAGGTTTTGCCTCCCAGCTCTTACTGTAGGGGCAGATGAGATCTGAAGGTGGGGTCAGAGCTGTGTCAATATTTCTACGGTCAGTGTTTCCATAGAGGTGTATGGCAGTGAGTGAGATCACAGTGCTGTATATCCTGAGACTAAAACCTTGTGACTGAGCCATTGCATGACTGCAAGACAAAATGTCAGCCTAATCTCCTAAGTAACATTGAAGGTAAATAGTCTTCCAAATTTTCATGCACTTTGGCTGTGCCTCTGGCAGCTACCTCATTAGAATCCACAGTACTAATATGTGTTAAAAATGCCTAGATCAATTATGTTTACAATATGCTGTAAATGCATTTGTAAATGCTGCAAAAGTCAAAACCTGAAAAGACACCACCAATATAAAAACAAATAGTTTTTGAAGCTTTTTCTTGACTCTGCAGGAGTAGAGTTTTGTCCTTAAAAAATAATTATGAAAGAACTTTGTTTCATATCAGGAAATCTGTGTCTCCATCCTCATAGATGCTGATGCTGAGATCCCAGGAGCCCCTGGCGCACCGCTGGATGTGCAGTGCTTAGATGCCAACAAGGATTATGTCATTGTGTCCTGGAAGCAGCCAGCTGTTGATGGAGGAAACCCCATCCTCGGATACTTCATTGACAGGTCAGCAAGCATGCTGATGTGGAAAATTTGTATTGCTGCGCATTTCAACTCAAAAACCTAAAAGCACATTTGAGAGCATGAGATAAAGTGGTCATTTTTATTTTCACTCTTATTACTGGCTACAAAAATAATGCTTTTTTAAGCTGGTTGGGCCTGATATAACTTTAATGAGAGTAATAAAGGCCTGCTTCATGTAAGCACATAGAAATGATTATGTGAGATGCTGCTCAGCCCTTACTTATTCCTATGAGGCTCAAGAGGCCTCAGGACACTGTGGTGTTGGGGGCTCTCAGGATTGGCTCTACCCATATCAGTGCTCTCCCTCCTGCAACCAAACATTTACTATGTACCAGAAAGCAAAATGTGATTTTGGAGGGACTTGGACTTCTCTTACATGCTGTTGTTTTTTGAGCAATTAAGTTGATAAGCTTAATGCAAATTACATTTACATATTTTTCTCTTCAACAGTAAGATTTGGAAATATGTAGTTCTAAAAATATGGCCTCAAATTGTGCGAGGGGAGGTTCAGTTGGATATTAGGAAAAATTCTTCTCAGAAAGAGTGGTCAGGCAGTGGCACAGGCTGCCCAGGGAGGTAGTGGGGTCACCAGCTCTGGAGGTGTTCAAGAATTGTGTGGATGTGGCACTGAGGGATGTGGTCAGTGGGCATGGTGGGGGTGAGTTGATGCTTGGTCTTTTCCAACCTGAATGACTCTGTGATTCTGTATGAAAATGGAATCCCACCACACTGTGGTGGGATAACATAACTATGTTACTGAGCGTCCAACTTCAGTTGTTGTCACAGACATCTTAGAGCTGGGTTCATCACAGATGATGAACTCTTCTTTTGGCAACTGCAGAGGATCCATGTATTTCACATCCCTTCAAATATGCTGAAGCCGACACACCCCACGAGTCCCAGAGCATGCTTTGAAGGGTTTGAACAGTTTGAAATGAGTTGTGCCCGTGTCCCCTCTTCAGTTCAGGAAAGAAGAAGCACAGCTGCAAGGGATTTAGCGCATTCCCACATGGCCCTACAGCCCTGACCCCTCTCCTGCAGCTGCTTCTGTGTCACCGGAAGACTGCACTGCTGAAGAAGCTGGGAATGTCCAGCCAATGAACATGAATGGAGCTCTGAGGGCTGGGTGCCCTGAGCTTGTGTTTTTCCCTTCCCAGGACCACTTATCCTGTTTGTGTTTTGCAGGTGTGAGGTTGGCACCACCCACTGGACCCAATGCAATGAGACTCCAGTGAAGTTTGCTCGTTTTCCTGTCACTGGTTTGATCGAGGGCCGCTCCTACATCTTCCGAGTCCGAGCGGTGAACAGAGCTGGTGTTAGCCTACCATCCCGTGTGTCAGAGCCTGTGGCTGCCCTGGATCCCGCAGACAGAGCCAGACTGAGAAGTAAGGTGTCCTTCTTGCAGCTTGTCTGAGAGATTTAAAAAGTCATAACTCGAAGAAAAAAAAAAAAAAAGAAAAAAAAAAAAGAAAAAAAAAAAAGAAAAAAGAAGTCTGATTCTATTGTATGGGAACTGCTGAGTCACGGCCTGAACCTCTGATTGATCACCTGAGGTGAGCCATGAGCCAGCCAGAGGAGCACAGGTGAAGGCAATTCACCTGTGCTGCCGGAAGGGGTGGAGCCTGGCTGCACCCCTCCTAGACCTATTTAAGAGCTGGCTACCAGAGGGGAAGGATCTCTTCTGGAGATCACCTCTCTTGGTGTTTTCTGGTGAGCTCAGCCGAAGGGTAAGCTCTTCCACTTATTCTCTTCTTGTGGTTGTTGTCTACTTTGCCTAATTCTCTTGATTATATTGTGATTATAACATCTTGATATCTGTTGATTATACAATTATATTGTGATTATAACATCTTGATATCTATTGATTATAAGTTCTATTTATTCATAAGCCTTTGAAATCCCACTAGAGGGAGCAATTCAAAAACAAAATCTTTGGAGGCACATTTGCCAAGAAGGAATCATCTCAGTGCTCTTTGCGCAGAGAGTTCCAACAGCTCTAACAGCTTTTGCTGGCAGCAGCACTGCATTCTGAACTTGCAGGGAGAGGGGAAAGGGCACAGGAGAGTAAATTGCCTGAGGCTTGTTTTTGTTCAACCAACAAAATAGCCAGGCAGACCCTGCAAATAGCCTCTCTCTGTGCCACAGCCCATGTGATGACTGAAGTCTTGCAGTAACATCAGCAAAATATCAGGGCAACCCAACAGGTTATTGAACCCAACCTCTCCAACTGCCTCTATGGCAGTTAACATTTTACAGGCCAAGGATATTTTTCCTGTGGCTGGGTGATATCCCAAATGCAAAGGCTTTGATGAGGAGTTTGCTTCAAAATCCCTTTCTCTACCCATATGCCAAAATAATATGCCTAAAATTCATTTATTTATACTCATGTGAAAGGGGTATTGTATGTAAAGCTACAGGTCACCAACAGTCCCAACTTGCATGTCTTACTGTTTCAGCACTGTAAGGTACAGACAGCTATCAGATGGTCGAGGTTTCCATTAAAAAAAAAAAACCAGAAGGCTGGAGGAAGCAGGTTTATCACCACAAGGAATTACGGTGTCAGAAATGTGAAACCCCAGTTACAGTGACTTTTCTTTTCACTGGAAGGACTGGAAGCTGTCTCCAAAGAGGGAGTCTGATCTCGGTGGCCTATTCCCATTGTATCCCCTCATTTTCACTGTCACAAACCTCTGCTCAATCTTTGCTCACACTTCCAAAGCAAATCAGCCAATGAAAGGTGAAACTTTGAAGTGGAGAACAGTAGCTGTGAAGATTATCTCTGAAAATATGTTGTTGTGGTTAATAGCTTGATACATAGCTGTGATAACATGATAATGCTAAAGCACAGAGAAAGCTACCCAAACCATATCGCGTGGGTATGTTAAGTCAGGCCAAGCACTTCCTGTGACGTGTGACATTCATGTGACAATGGCCCTTGCTTTGAAAGCTGATAATGTGAAGGAAAGTGGATTAAAAGGAGAGAAAGAGCAGCCTGCAGGAGTTTGGCTCTTCCTTTAATGAGCGGGCTGTTAAACTAAATGAACGTAGCAGGAAAAATAAAGTGGAAGTGAATTCTCTAAAACAGATGAACTGAGTGAGCCAAATACCTCTACTTGTCACTTAAGTGACTTCAGAGAAATTTCAGGAAGGAGTATATGTCTCAGTGAACTAAATATTTCTTGATATATTGATTGCAGAACTGCTTTCAATATGCAAGCCTTAAAACTAGCTTTGAGTATCCTTACATGAGTAGTCACCAGAAATGGAGCTCATATGAAGCTTGCAAATGACAATTTTGTTGGTTTTGTCATCATTTCAGAAGTTCCTGAAGGCTCATTTACATGATCTCTCTTGCATCTGTTTCAGGTCACCCTTCCGCTCCTTGGACAGGACAGATTATTGTCACTGAGGAGGAACCTGCAGGTAAACACAGCCCTTTTGCCTACAAAAGCCTGGCTGAGTAACTAGGAAAGCTTCCATTGAGTTCAGTGGACTTTGGCACAAACTCAAAGTTCTTAGAATTGTTCTTAGAGTCACTCAGCCTTGAACAGCTCCATCTTTAGGTGAGGTTTCATTATTCAGGATGTAATAAACAAACATGCTTAGCATTAAACTAAGGACGTTTAATACTGGTATTTAGATAACTTTAAACCCTAAGTTTTCCAAAAACATTGAGTGCTAAAGTGTATTAATGCTTGTTCTATACTTTAATCATAGTAGTGTTTCTGATGCAAATATGAAGAAATTCACACTCGTTTCCGTTTTCTACTCTTTTCCATTTCATATTTCAGAGGGTGTCATTCCTGGTCCACCTACAGACCTCCAAGTTATTGAAGCTACCAAGAACTATGTTGTGTTGAGCTGGAAACCTCCTGGACAGCGGGGCCATGAGGGTATCATGTATTTTGTGGAAAAGGTAAAATCAGAGAAAATCAGAATCACGATACAGCAATCTTCTTTAACATTTTCTTTGCTGAAATTTCATTTCCACTTTCAAGCTAGGATTAGAACTTCATTAATGTAATTATTAGATTAAGATAAACTACTATGACAGAGATTTATAAGAATGGTTGAAGAATGTGTCTCAAACTGTAATATACTTTCCTGAACTGTGTCATTGACCTGCCATAGGGTGGATAGGCTGACAAACTCACTATAGTGAGTAAGCACAGTGCAAAGTCACAGTTGTATGTATATGATTTGTCTGAGGGCTGCTACAAAGGTAATGCCTCCTATTTTATGATGTTGGCCAGTGACATCAGTGGTGGATGTTGGTGATACGGCAGTAGAGGTTCAACCTTCCTACCAATATTCCATTGCATTTTGTTGCCACGTGACAGATGGCAGCAGGAGGGCAGTCTGACAAATTGGTACTGACATGGAAGTGTGTATGAAGCAAAGGTGTGTCATTCCTCCCACTGTCATTCATCAACACTTGCTAAATGTTTCTGGAGACCAACCAGTGGATGTGATCACAATAAGGCAGTGGGTGGTGTGCTTCTCCAGCTGCTTTTCTGTATTTATCCTCTATATTGGCTTTCAATTGTACTTAACCACCTCAACTAAGTTGATAAAATTTATTTTCTAGAACCGAATCACTTTTCATTTCAGTGTCCTTTTCTGAGCTCTTCTTTGCATGGTTACCAGCCCAGAAATATCTTCACCATCTTCACCATTTTACTAGTACCTCATGACTCCCACAAACTTGTTATCAGTGCTTTTTCTTATCACTCTAGAGCTGTCATCATGAGGGACATAAATATCTTCCCATTTCATGTTTTTCATCTCTCTAATGTAATCTGATCTAAAGAAAGGAATTTCACCTAGCAACAGTCTTACAGAGGGTGAATACATTAATTTTGAGTTCCCATGTAATATAGTCTATTTTGATTTTTTGACAACTTACTGCATGCAGAATACTGAACGTTAATGTCACATATTTAAGTAAAGTTTCTCTGAGTATTTGAAATCTCACAGAAACCTGGATATTCTTTGAAATTATTCTTAATGCAAGACAATAATTAATTACTAATATTAACAGTATAAGTGACCACGGTAAGTAGAACTTCCAGCCACAGAAACAAAAGCAATTCACAAATTGAATGCACATCTTCATTAATCCTGGAAGCCACCTCAAAAACATCCTCAGGAGTGACACAACAGCATTTAGAAGCAATGTATTCATGTGGATGGTGTTGAATGTCTGCAGAACTTCTGTTGAAAATGGTCTGGGGAGTAAGATGCAGAGCTGAATGCAGTTAAAAAATGACAATTCCTTGCTGTGGAGAGGTGTTTAGCTTTGGTATATTGAAAACAGTAAGCCTGCATGTGTGATTTATGGAGTGACTGGACATCTGGCAGATTAATAAGCTTTGAAATACACTTATACAGTGGAATGGCTAAAACCAGGGACATGACTCCCTCTTCTCCATAGCAGACATAGGCCTTGTCAGGTTAGACTCTGTGTTGAGAGAGTTTTGTTCAAAATGTTGTTTCTGGGTTTGACTGCAGTGCATTGCTGGCACAGAGGACTGGCAAAGGGTGAACACCGAGATCCCTGTGAAGTCCCCTCGCTTTGCAGTTTTTGATTTGTCTGAAGGCAAATCCTATTGCTTCCGGGTTCGCTGTTGCAATTCAGCTGGAATCGGTGAGCCTTCAGAAGCAACTGAAGCCACTGTGGTGGATGACAAACTTGGTGAGTGATCATAAGTACTAAGTTCTCTTCATGGTATCTTTTCAGTTTGCTATGTGGTTGTTTTGCCTGAAGATAGCTGCTCAGCTTCTAACTGGAAAATGAAGAGTGGTCAGTGATGTATTCCCTTCAGCTAAGATAATTTTGGATTGGGTTGTCAAACATTTAATGTAGGGTCAAATGGCAGATACAAGCCGAAGGAGTTAAGCTCAAATAATGATATCAAGAACCACAAAGGCTGCAAACAATGGAAGAAAATGGCAGCTCAATAAAGTACAAAACTGTTCTGTTTTGGAGACCATATTGAACATAAGCCCAGACATGAGCAGAGTTTAACCTTCCTCGTTTGCCAAATCAAACAAACGTGAAAGATTTAATATTTATATGGATGCAGAAACTATTTCTACTGGAAAAAAGTCCCTGATGTTCCCCACAGCAAAGAATTAGTTACTTGTCTATTAGTTGCATAGTAGCTTTATCTACATTGGCATTTTCTTCCAGAACTCCAATGCAGATTTGAACCAAATTCCCAGGTTGTCTCATTTCACCTCAGTTTGATTTATATAAACTTCATTCATTAAGAAGAGTAAAACAGTTCTCTTCAAAAAATACTGAAGGTGTGTTTTGCTATTTGATATGGGTATTGCTTTCTAACTTCTTCTGTGCACTGCATTGTGTATTATCAGTGCTAAAACAATCAAGATTGGAATGTCACTTTTTTTTGGTGATTTTTTTTTTCTGGATGGTCATTAATTTATTTCTGCTTATCTTCCCCAGATATTCCCAAACCTCCTGGCCGTATTATGCCAACTAGAAACACAGATACCTCCGTTGTTGTCACTTGGACAGAACCCCCAGATGCCAAGGAGTTGGTTGGATATTACATCGAGTCAAGTGTGGTTGGATCTGGTCATTGGGAACCATGCAACAACAATCCAGTCAAAGGCACAAGGTAATGGATTTTAAAACATGGAGATTGTGGTCACCAGATGGTTGTTATGGCTTTTGGTTGTTTTTTTTTTTTTTTTTTTTTTTTTGCTTTGGTTTGGTTTTGGGTTTTTTTTGGTGTTTTTTTGGTTGATTGCTTTTATGTGTTTTCAGATGTTCATAGTACTAGTAGTAGTAATTGTTCTTTGGTAGCCAGCAGAGGCTGAAATCACTCTTACACTCTTGTAAGATGTTATAAAAACATATTTCAATGTGGTTCTTGTCCAAAAGTAATTTATAATCAACCTTGTACTGAAAACAATTAGTCAAGGGGTGTGGTGGAAATATGGATACTGGCAGTGAAGAGAAACAACTCACTAGCTGTTGTATCCATCAGTTTGATGAGAAATGGTACAATGAGGAATGAGTGAACTTACGAATGTGGAAAACTGAACTACATCATGTTTGAAAGCAAAATCCTTCAGTTGGAAGACCGCTGTAAACATTTCTGGGCCTGTGTGTCTAGCATGTCAGGAGGAAATGCAGACTATTTCATGCCAACAATATTACTTTCTAACTGCTCTGTCACTTGCAATTATCAAGATGTTAATGGATGCTCATAAACCACTTGTGCCAATATTCTAAGCTCTCGTATCGTAAAATTATAGAATCATAGAATGTTCTGGATCACTGTTATTTTTATTATGGCTACATCAAGTGTTGATGAAGCTTCATATTGTTTTCTTGTTTCAGAATATAAAATGTGATCTTTACTCAGCTTAAAAATAAGAATATTGATTTGAATTACTTTATACTGCTACATAAATACACTGCTTTTGCTCTTATCACTGCATTTTTATTCTATGCAATGTGGTGCATGATACAGACAGGCACAGGCTGTGTGTTATCTAATGTTATTGGGACTGAGACAACTTCAAAGCATTAGCTGTAGCTCATAGTTTACTGGATGCAGTACATTTTGATGTTTTGAAATTCACTTTCTGTGAATGTCCAGGTGAAGGGTAATGCTTTGGAAAAGTCTGGAGGAATGAGTGATGTAAGTTCTGTCCTGAAAATTTCAGGTTTTATTTTTTTTCCCTGAAGTAAAATTTTGGGAATGTTTTATATTTTTGATGCTATTTTTCTGCTTATATTATTGCATGATGTCAGTCTTTGAAGCACAGAATATAACATTGTGGAGCATATAATGAAAAGAACATGAAATAAAATACACTTAAAATACATATTAAATAATATGTTAAAATATTTTACAAAACACTTTGTTTGTTTGTTTGTTTATTTTCCAAAAGGAAAGGAATTTTATGTCTTGAGGAATTGTGTGTTTTTTTTAAGGGGGAACAACTTGAAAAAAACATGATTTTTTAAAATGTAAACATTGTATAATACAGCTGAAAAACTATACCACTAAAATAGCTTGTCTGACTTAAAATAATGGAAGTACCATAAAAGTTTGGACATTTCTGGGGGGTCTTGCTAAATGTCCTGCGATTTCTGTGTACGCTGCAGTTTTTCATTTCTGATTGGATGTGAACGATGGGGACTTGTGCTGCAGCTGTCTTCTGCTTATGTAATGAATGAATCCCACAGGCAAATGCAGACCTCATCTCTGCAGATTTTTCCACTGTTTCCATTAGGAAGGATGAATCTTATATATCAGCGAAAGTAATATAGACCCTTCTGTAACACAAGAACTTGTATAGTCATAGGTGGGAAAGAGCATTGGTAAAAAAGGGTCTGTATAAAATATGTGAGTTCAGGCATTCTATTTGCAGGAAGTACGTTCTTAGATACTTCATTCTGCTTTCTCTGACCTTCATATAATTACTGGGTTCGTATTTTAACCTCAATTTTCAGAAACCAGAATAAATTTTACGGAAGAAACGCTTCTTCTACACCCCTTAAGATTTTTATTTTCTTCATAATACTCTAATAATTCATTTGCTGGTTTGTTTTAGATTCATTTGCCATGGGCTTGTCAACGGTGAGAAGTACATTTTCAGAGTCAGGGCTGTTAATGCAGCTGGACTCAGTGAATTTTCCCAGGATTCAGAGCCTATAGAAGTGCAAGCAGCCATTGGTAAGTTGTTTCCTATTGCTTTGTTCAATGGTAAATCTCTCTCTATATATATATTTAAATAAAGATGTTTTCAACATCTATTGATAACTAATTATCCTGGTTTACAGTGCTGTCCACATGATACTTTACCTGTAGCTCTTACATTTTGCATCACAGCCACACTTTAACAGTCACTGCAGCCTTGTAGACTGTTCACCATTCAGATTTCTTCACGTGTTTCTTGTGAACTGCTGTAGGAGGGCACTGCCAATTACACTTCATAATCATCCAGGAAGAAGGAATGTCATTCTGATCCTCTAATGTGGTATTTATTGCCTCTAACACACACCATCCTACATATAGTCATCTCCTTAGAAATGTGTTTTCACACCTAAACCTAATAATAAATGTACTTCTAGTGTGCTTCTTGCAAACTTTCTATAACCCTGTGTGTTCTTCCTTTGTTGATGAAATATTTCTGTTTGCCACTGCGTGAACTAATCCATACAGATTAATGAGATCACTGGGCTAGAGCAAACCGTTTGTCTCAACATCCTCACTGTTATCTACATCTACATCAGAATCACAAAACTCAACCCTAGAGCAGAGAAATGTGCTCCTTGGTAATTTTGTAAGATCTTTTTAAAAGAATAAAAATATGACTTGGAAGATCTAATAGTAAAATAATTATAGAAAATGAAGATTAACACTAACTTTCCGTATTTATTCTGCTCTGAAAATTAGATGTCATTAAAAGAAAATAACTTGTGAGGATGTTAAGAGGTATTCTACGCATTTCAAATTTTTGTGAGTCCAAGCGTAGCTTTTTGTCCATAAGAATAGTGATTTGTCGTGGTTTCTTTGTACTGTTCACTGTCTGCATTTTATGCTCTGTTGAGTAAATGATAAAAAATAATGTATTCTAATTCAAAATGTCTTTACTATTTTCTGGCAATTATAGGGGGAGGATTGCTTCATGGTGTGTGTCCTGAACTGAGTGGTAAAGCTGATGGACTAACAGACTGCACTACCAGCTGGGAAGGCATGCATGAGTCCTCCCAGCCTATCTTTGACACAGATGCTTTGCTAAAATGCAATGCTAAATTTAATAGAGACCCGCTACCCAGTAGCTCTGACAAACTGGGGAGTACAGGAGACAATAACTTGAAAGAAATGGTTAAGGATGTTATCACATCTGCACCACAAAAAATCGTTGCTAAGCAGGCAAGTAAGTCTCGACCCGGGGATCCTTTGACAATGGAAAAAATGAAAAAGAAGAAAGATATAGGTGAGAATTAATAAATAAATAGCTTTCACTGCTTTGGTACATCCACCTTGGATGGCTGCAACCTGCACTCAGCTACACCACAAGGGAACGTTCTCTCCAGTGGTGCATCTTCCAGCAGTCACAGTAACTATGTGCTCAAGTCAAATGGAAGTCGTGTATCTAATGTTTGTTATCAGAGACCATTACACAAATCTATTGGCTATTGAAAGTGAAATGTCTACTCCTTCACTAATGTAATAGCTTGTCTGGAGTATATACTAATATATCCCGTACAGTATGTCTACACCACGTCAGTAATTTGTTCTCTGTCAGGAGTCTTGTTACGTAGTTTCTGGGTTACGTATGTGTGGAGGAAACAAAATCTGATTACAACGGTAAGTATGAAGATCTGCGTTGTGCAAAGATGTGTGAAGATCCTTTGTGGATTTGTGCCTAAGCTACGGCTTATCCTCTGAGATGCGGTGCTAATGAACATTGCATTATATCTCTGACTGATGGTTATCTGTAATGAGGGAAACCTATCAAGTTGAAGACACGTGGACAAAATCACAGTTTATGTTGTCAACACCTAAACACTCATTGCGCCTAAGAAATATGGAGCTTGAATTTCATTTAAGTCTTGGTACTTGGCCAGTGAATGAATTTAGTTTACTTCCCATGCCATGGGAGATTCATGAAGTGAGACTGAAAAAAGCTTGTTCAAAACTCTGAACAGCAAACAAGATACAGGGCTGCACCTGGGGGCAACTAACGCTGTGATAGAATACCAAAGACAAAAGTATGTGATGTGAGATTTCCATCAAATTTGGAAGGTGACAGATAGGGCTTTTAACCAGTGCGTGATATCTAAGTGTGAGCAAATGTTTCCCCAATATGTATGGAGAGGGCATTGTAAGAAAACGGGTTGGGAGAAGTTAATTATTTCTCTTTTGTTGTAATTATAAAAAAAAAAAAAAAGTGGATAATGCAGCAAATTTTGTAAAGTAAGTTCCAGTAACAGACATGTTCCATTTTCAGTCAGCCTACAGTGCCTATGATCGTGCTTTACTTCCTTAAGGTAAGATGAAGGGTGCAATGATAAAATCTACATGGTGTGTAAATTTAATAACAATAATAGTAATAAACAGATAACTGGCATTCTGTGAAGGGAAGAATGGGGGCCTTAATAGGAAAAAAGGAATTACAACAATTATTATGTGTGTGAAAAAGGATTTGCTTTCAGCAAAAGAAAACAAATCATTGCATCTCTAACGTTTTACTTTTCTTGTAATGATAATTTTAGTTCCTCATTTATCACAGTTTTAGACAAGTTCATGATCACTTACATCAGAGCTGCAATTGCAACACATTCTTTCACTGCGTATCAGCTTGCTTCTCAAAACCCAATGATCTTGAAAATTAATTCTTATGCCATTTGGATTTTCATGTTTGCTTTATGGAAGCTTTTATCCTTCATTTCTCATTCCAGCAGAACTCCCCTTGGCCGCACAAGTATTTTCCTAACTTGGAAATGCAGGATGGGGGCCACCTGAATATGGTAACCAGATGCCTGTCTGGCTATTGAGATATTACTTCCTACTTACATGTTATTCATGTTGAAACAGCTGCTCCATCTCCACCATATGACATCACGGTCCTTGAGAGTGTTCGGGACTCCATGGTGTTAGGATGGAAACAACCCAAAGCCACTGGGGGAACTGAAATTACTGGCTACTACGTGAACTACCGTGAAGTGATTGGTGGAGTTCCTGGGAAATGGAGGGAGGCCAACATTAAAGCCGTTAGCGAGAGGGCATACAGGGTGAGAGATCCACTTCTGCTATTGCTGAGGGTGCAAACTGTATTTCCAAAAGAGTTCTCAAAGTCAGATTAGGATGGTAATGTGATTTAGTGCACGGATTGATTTTTCAGAGCATTATATCCAAGGTGCATATTTCTGCTAACTTCTCATGGAAACATACCAAAATTATACTAAGGATCATAGTAAACATATTTGTCCTTCCTCTAAGGTTTATCTTGCTTGAAAGGTGGTACGGAAGTGATAGACATTATTTTAGTGGTAGCTGTGACATCAGAGAACTGTAACAGATGGTATTAAAACAGTGCTTTCGTGTCATATGGTTAATATGTTATCGAAACTGCAGCTTCCTGTACTGCAGAAATTCTATGGTACCATGAAATACTTTGTCATTCTACTAGCTTCCTTGTTAGTGTTTGTCTCAAAGTGATGGAAATAGTCTGTTCATAGAGGTTTTATGTATACATTTAGTGCAACATTTACCACACTGATGCTCTTCTGTTCACCTTATTACATAAATCCTCATTTAACAAATAGCTCACTAAAGAATAGAGAAGCCTGGGGACAGCACTATTTAGTTAACTCCATTAAATTCTTCTCTCTACAATTATTTGTAAACTTGTCTGTTATTCTGGCACCAACCATAATCTGTGAATTAATTCTTCTGGGCATAGGCTGGATTTTTGGAAGTCAGGCCATCAAAACAACTTGCATTCCTACTGGTCTTGGTGGACCTATTCGAGTGCTTGCTGGTACTGGAACCAGCTTGTGCAAGCTGGGTTTTGTGATTAGTTTCTAAAGGCCAGTTTAGAAGTGTTGTAGTGCTAGCTACAATCTATTTGAGCTGTTTTGCAATTGAAAAGGAATGCCAGGACTGAATTTTACCCTGCTACAAGGACAACTCTTGACTTAAGTGAACTTGCTGCCTATCATGAAACAGATCAGTATAACTGTTGAGCAATATCCTGCTCCCTCCCCGACTACCAAAGTCTTTCAATAGGAATAGTTTTAAAATCTGAGCATACTGAGAATACTCACATATGCTATGTCACGGCTTAGAGGGAGAGCCAGGATATGTGTGATATCAATAAAGCTTTCATCTCTTCAGGCACTTCAAAGCACGTTCATGTATTAGATGATAGTGACTTTCTCCTAAGGCCTTAATCCAAAGTTAATAAGTATTATTTTGTTGGATCTGCAGATTGAAAACCTGAAGGAAAACATGGTGTACCAGTTCCAGGTGGCTGCTGCTAACCTGGCTGGGGTTGGGACACCCTCCCTGCCCAGCAAGCCCTTCAAATGTGAAGAATGGACCATTGCTGTACCTGGTAGGATCCTGAGTGTAACACGAAGGTTACTGCCACCCACAGGGTGCTCTGGAACAAATAGTCTAAGTTCTCAATGTCTTGCTTCTAGGGCAGTCAGTGGGTACTGAAGTATATACCGAGGCCTGTGTCTTCATCACATTCTTTTAACGTACTTACATTGATGAATTAAGCAATGCCCACATAACCAGTAGCATTTTACAAGTAGCTTGTATTTTCTTTATTTTTACTGCTTTGTTTCTGTACTGTGTCTGCCACTGTGCTCCTTAGTTTAAGTGATTAATATAAAAACCTGTCTAACAGAGAAGGCAGGGAGTCCTTGTAGCCCTTCTGTCATGTATCATATATTACTTCAAGGCCAGATCTCTGACCTTTTAACACTCACTGAAATTATTGAAAACAATCTCCATTGGCTCCAGTGGACTTTAAAACTGTCCTTAAAGCAGCTCATTAGCTTAATATTTAACTTATTTCCCTGGCTTGGGAGATTATTTGTAATTTTTGTTTGTTCGTAAATATTTGATCAAGATACCAAATCTCAAAAACTTGGATTGTTTTTTAGGGCCACTCTTTTATTAGGTATGAATTGTATTCATATCTCATTTAGATCTGATACAATGGAACTGCACCTGCTGTGTCAGCTTTGGGTGTGCGATGTGTTGTTTGATTTTGTGTTTTGAAGTCTTATGCGTTAATCTCTTTGGTCTTTATTCTGACAACACAATTCCAATTTTCACTCTTACCTTTCAGGGCCACCTCACGATGTCACATACACAGAAGTTAGGAAGGACTCTTTGGTATTACTGTGGAAGGAACCAGTTTATACTGGTCGTAGTCCTATAGCTGGTTACTACATTGATATGAAGGAAACTGAAGCAAAGGAGGAACGTTGGAGAAGCGTCAATGAGAAGCCACTTCAAAAGAAATTCTTGAAGGTAAAGTAGTTTGAGATTCAATACAAATATAACAGAATAATCTTAAAGAAGTCAGTCACAGATAATATAGTCCTGCGTAGCATTTATGGAAACACTTAGTAGGCTATGCTGTGCCTGGGACACCCATGTATGAAATCTGTGTAGTCAGACAAGGCAGTAACTTAGAAGATAATCTGATATGTAAAAAAATAAAAAAATAAATAAATAGAAATTGTGCTGAAACTGCACATTATTCTTACAACACAGTAGGCATCCCTGGTATTTCCTAGCTCAAAGAGCATTGCTACACAAAAACATTACACAAAAATGGATGTTGTAAATAATGTGGTATGTGGTTCTTTCAAATACAAATTACTCTCTCCACACATTTAATGGCATGTAAAACACAACCATTTCCCACTATTATGTCACATGATTTTGTGGAATGACTTCTAAATAAGGAATTAAGTGTATTTCAATTTCAGAGATACATCTGAAGTGGATTTGCTACTTCTATTCTTTCCAGAGCATTTGGAAGACTTCACTTTAGGGTTTGATCTTTTCACACATGTTTTATAGGAGCATTTACAGGTGTTACAATGTTACTGCAATTGCTCAAGAGAGTAGAACAAGATCCATACAGTTAACTGCCCTTCAGGTTCTATAAAAGTGGGACTGGGACATTTTACTGATAATTTATCTACAGTATAAGATTGTGCTGTTCTAGAGGTCAGTGGACACGAGTTAAAAACATCCTGTTCAAATAACAATGCTCCTTTTATAAATAAATCAACAGCAGCTGTGGCACTGTCTAAATGTTAGCTATGCATACAAGGAAAGCATAAATCAAACATATCAGTCATGCTTCTCTGGGACTGAAAAAAAGAAAAGAAAAATAAAAAAAGGAAGGAATATTTGCCAACTGGAGAAAGAGCAAAATAAAAAATAAAGGAAATATGATTGTCAAGCATCCAGACTGGTACTGTAAAAAGTGTGAAATTAAAATTGGTGTTTTGTAATAAGTCATGTATATGTTTGCTTCCTGCAGATAGCTGGCCTAACAGAAGGGGTGAGCTATGTGTTCCGTGTGCGGGCGACAAACCAGGCTGGTGTTGGGAGACCATCGGATATCACTGATCCCGTTGTAGCTGAGACACGACCAGGTTTGCTAGAAATGCTTCCTCTTTTTTGTCCTATTTAACGAGGTGCCTGTCTGTGTGATGTGTTTGCACGCAGGCTGTGTGTGAACAGCCTGCCCCCCCTCAAAGTCAAACATTCTTAGTATGCAGGAAACAAGTTGAAGAATATATCCTTCTGCCTGGTCAGATATGTTTTAAGTCGGGACAGGTTTTCTTATTGTAACAACCTGTTCAGGAATATAAAGTTATATGTGTATTGCAATAGAACAGAGCATGAGTGGAGGATTTGTTAAGATCAGCCCAACCAAAAATTCTACAGTTGTAGGCTTTGCCCTTCCTGTAGTAAATTATTTGTTTATCTCTTTCTTCTGTTTAATTTACGCAGTGTACCTGAGGAAAGGGTAAAAGAAATTACTCTTTACCTTTAATATTTAAAATAAAGATTTAAAAAATGTAATCCTAAGAAGCCTTGAACAGTCTCCCAGTGAGGCTGTAAAAGTGATCAAAAGGATATCTGAAGACAGAGGAAGAAAAGAACTAGAAATATTTGAATGAGAAGGCTGTAGTGACTATTAGTGGAATGGGAAAGGGGGGGTGGGATGGACTGGATGATTAAGAAAAGGCAAGACTGTGATATGGAGATAAGAGGATAAGTATGTAGGCTAGAAAGGGTTGGAATAGGAGAGAAATACATGAGCTGTGAAGGGACTAAAATAATTTAGTTGAGAATAGGTTTGTTCTAGAGTAAAAGGAAGATATGGTGGTAATGGAGATGTGGCCTGAAAATGGTCATAGTAGGAGGAGTGTGGAGCCAGGAGCACCAAAGACTGGAGACATGGGAAAGAGAGGCCATGAGAAGTCTGGGTGCAAAATCAGAAGCCTGGGAACTTCCTACAGGATGAGATAAAAAGGGGCACTATAGGTAAATCTTACCCTGTTGACAGCTGTAATCATAATAACATGGCAAGCAGGATTGCTCATCCCACTGCTCATCTGGCCATCCATACCTCAGCTTCATCTCTCACAGCTACTGTATCTTTTTTCTTTTCTTTCAAAAATAAAGTAGCCCTAAGTTCAGACCAACAAACCACTGTAGAAGCATTAGGGTTGTTCTCATCATCTGCAAGTAGAGCAAGGCAAGACTTAGAAACCGATTCTTGAAAACAGCTTAGATACTATAACAACAACCACTTCTAAATTGAACATCAAACCACTATTAGTACTGAACTTTTGCCTTTACTAATCTATTTTCCTTGAGGGTTAACATCCATCCATCAGATTTTTTATAAAAACTTGTTATGGTAATAATATTTAAATGCATGAAATAAATGATTGATCATGCAATGAAAAATAATATATGGATGTAAACTGTTCTGAAGATGATAGTCATAACAACAAAAAAAAGATTTTTCAGCAGTTTTCGTAGTCCAATGTGGCCCAAATTCAATCTAGCACCATGAATGTGAGTAGAATATTTGTTTTGCAATCCTCACAGTTAGAGAAGGTGATGAATCTCAGGACTATGACTCTTCTGCAAGCCAGGCTGTTGTTCACCATAGTGATGTCTGATGGATCTCAAGAAAGTCAGGGAAGTTGAAAATGATTTACTTAAACAAATCTGATTGACCCATATTTTGAGCTAAGGTATGCAGATAAACTGTTCACCAAACTAAGCTTCTTAATAGTGCTAAGAAATAACAAAAGGCTTATTAAAAAACGTATTTCAGAAAGCAGTCTCCTGAATAGGCTTTCAGCTTTCTCACTCAAACCACACAAATCTCAAGAACAATCAAAAATTACCACGAATCTTCTGGTGTTACCCAATGAATACTGTCTTTATTAACATTGTGGATGGAGACAAAATATTGCAAGATCTCTCTGCACAATTCCTGCTGGAATGTCACTGGAATGTTGGCAAACATGTAGAATTGCCAGGAGACTGAGCTCTCTAACCAAAGAATGTAAGTAAATAACATCCTGAATGGAAATACTTGTTTTAAAATGCGTGATATCAATTTTCTTGATCCAGTTACATGTATTAATAGAATGGTATGATAGTTTCCATCCTTCCCTTGTTTAAAAACTGTATTTCATTTTTACAGTTATCTGTTAAAACTAAATAAAAAACCCACACACATAAAGGAGAGAAAAAAAATAAAAATTCAGCAATGCTGGCTAGTCTTGAGCTGAAACTTTATCTTTGGACAAAATCACTTTGGTGATTTTGCAGATCTCACAGGAGGCAAGAGGAGTCTAGGAGCAACTGCATATCTCTCCTGATCATTCTTAGGTCTGCTTTTAGTCCTTTTGCACGCTGGCATAAATGGAAGTTAGATTCAAACCATGCATCAACTGCTTCAGGAGGGCTTGGCACAGGAATTTGATCTGCCCTGGGGGTCAGACTATGGGATCCAACCTTTAACCTTACATGAAGTGTTTTGTTGTGGGGTTTTGTAAAGCCTTTTTACAGGAGGCCTTCTACACGTTTGTGTGAATCCTTGGCTGCAAGATGGTGCATGTGAGGACTGTTTCAGTGAGAGCAACCTGTTGAAAGTCCCTGCACTCACCTGACCTCTCACAACACAATCAGAAGCATACTAAGATAGTATAAAATTGCAATTACCTGATTTTTCTGATTCTGCCCTCTGTGCAGCTGTGACCAAAGCCATAGCAGAACTAAAAACTTAACCCCATGGCAACCACAAATTTACTTTAAGCACAAAGTCAGTCATCCACCAAAATCCCTTCAGCTAACCAATAGGCAAGTTTAACCTTGATGAGAGAGGTTTTGAGCAGCATGTTTGGGAAGTTTTATGACAAAATCTCAGAAATTAATGAAATTAATCCCAGTCAACTTTTCTGACTAGCTGTAGAAAAGATGGTGCCCATAACTCCAGTGTTTTGGTGCTGTCTGCTTTATCTTAACATTACCTCTTTCCTTTCAGTGTAAAGAAGCCCTCAGATCAGTGCACTTAATCAGTATTTGATATGGTATCGAAGTATTTTATTTTTTATCAGGACTTTAAGAGTGACTCTGGATGATTTGTACAAACCACCACATTACCTAGAAAGGAGAAATCAGGCTACTACTATTATAGCAGCTTCTTTGGTTTCACACTGTGGAGTAGGCAAGTCCTCTGCCACAGTTGTTTAAAAATACATATTTTTCTGACTTCCACATAACTATTAGAAGTAAAAACCATCATCGCTTCTGGAGATACATGCTATGCACTGTTATCATCACCTCATTGCGGCCTTCCAATATTTGAAGGGAGCATATAAACAGGAAGGGCAATGACTGTTTACAAGGCTGGATAGACTAGGACAAGGGGGAATGGTTTTAAACTGAGACGGGAGGTTTAGGTTAGGTGTTAGGAGGAAGTTTTTCACAGGGAGGGTGGTGACACACTGGAACAGGTTGCCCAAGGAGGTTGTGGATGCCCCATCCCTGGAGGCATTCAAGGCCAGGCTGGATGTGGCTCTGGGCAGCCTGGTCTGCTGGTTGGCAGCCTTGCCCCTGGCATGGGTGTTGAAACTGGATGATCATTGTGGTCCTTTTCAACCCAGGCTATTCTATGATTCTAATGTGGATACTCTAAAACAAATGTAAGAGATGCTGCTCTTCAAATGTTCCTTCTGGCTGCGTTTCTTCACACATCACATCAGCTGCCACCCAAAGATTCACGTGCTAATGATCGAGAGGAAACTAAACATTAGTGAAATGTCAACTAAACATTAGTGAAATGTCAAGCAATGAATTTGCATATAATAAATTACATCATTAAAATTTTGAAAAATGTGCAGCTGCCTCACAAATTATTTGTAGACCTTAGTACCCATTAATCATCTCCTGGTTCTTATTGTGCTTCATTCCCGTGAGGGCTGGTAAATAATAGGGCCAAACCAGGGATATTAATCTAATCTTTCATTAAACAGTCGTAGCAAATTATAAAGAATAAGAAGGTTGCACGTACAGCACTTGTCTTTACAGGAGCTAATCACAGTGCTGGAGAGGACGTGTGTATAGTACTGGAATGATGAAACACAGAAATCTCCTTGCATACTTGAGATTCATTAAGAATTATGCTGAAAACAAAGCCCTTAATTACAACGTCTCTTGTCATTAAGACACAATGCATTGTGAGAAGGCACACCATTAGCATTCTGGGCAGCCCAGCGTTGTCTTAAACTCAGTAATATACCGTGAGTACCCCATTCAGACGTAAACTGCAGCTCTGAGCTGTTCAGAGGAAGCTGGATGTTCTCCAACACTTCTCAGTGCTTTCAGTGGCATTACCAGACAAGCTGCTGAAATGAAAGCTATTGCCACAGGTACAGGATTCCCAGATAAAATTTGCTGTGCTTCATGGAGGGAGCATGCAGGAGGTGTGTTTCATTTCCCGATCTGGAACTTACTCAGGGCCTTTTAGGGACTAACTGGGTCACCTTATCCAGCCCACAGACTGCAGGTACTGGCAAAACAGGGTGGGCGACTAAGAGGCTAATTGCAAATATTCACACCCTTTGTGTGCCTGCATTAATGCTGCAGATGGCTGCAGGGCCAGATGCCAAGCTCAGCAATTAAGCCAACCACCCAGAGTGAAGCCAGAGTCACCAAAGATGTGCCTCCGTTGCACAAATTTGTGCAGCTTGAGCAGCTTGGTTGTTTCTTCTTTTGCCTCCTGCACCTTTTCAAACATCCACTTTTGTACCCAGTATTCCCTCTGGAGCTTTTGTTTGACTAGGGAATGAGAAACTCTTGCTGCATATTGAAAACACTTACTATCCCTTAGCGTGAAAAATATTGCTATTTAATAATTCAAGCATTTAATGGAATTGGAGGCTTGCATTTTTTCCCCTTCAGGTTTTTTTCTAGAGAAAATATCATAGTCTCATGGGTGCTTAGACTTGCTCAAGTAAATAACTTGATTTATAATGCTTTTTAATCTGTTCCTTAATTTATTTGTGTTAGGATGAGAAATCTAGTCAGGAGTCAAGGATTGATATTGTCAATATTTGCAACGCTTTGTGTGCCACCTGCCAAAATAGAAAAGATCCTCTCAATCCACCCTATGAATCAGACTTGTCTGCTGTCATCTCTAAGAAAATGGAATTGCCTTGTTCTGATCTTTCAGGAACTAAGGAAGTGGTGGTTAATGTGGATGACGATGGAGTCATTTCCTTGAACTTTGAATGTGATCAGATGTCTCCAAACTCTAAGTTTGTTTGGTCCAAGAACTATGAGCCAATTGAGGATGACTCTCGACTGGACATCGATTCCAAAGGCGGAAAGTAAGAGCACTCAGTGGTAACAATCGTCTCATGTTTGAAAAACCTCAGCAGACCACAGAAATCCATCCTTTCTGGATGGATGAGCTCAGTAAGAATTCTATCTGCTGTTGTTACCAAAAGGCTTCGGCATGAGCATGCTGTTTGTCAGCAAGTCTATGTGCAGACCATAAGGAAATTGCAGCTTGCACAGAATGAGTCAGGCCTTCTGGTTAGGCAATGTACTTGTAGTTACATTTAGGCACAGAGTGAGAAAATCTGTGCTCTGTCCTCTTACAACCTGCCAGCCAGGACAGATTATTCCAATTGCTGTTACGTTAAATCTCCAAAGGCTTAAATTATTTGTCTGCTTCCTAGTCTGCTTAGACTGTGTAACATCATTACAATCATCTGAGCAGGACACTGTTTTGATAATGTCACCATAGCCTGATTTGGTAACAATTGTAATTCTCTACAAGCCTAAAATGTTTCTTCAGGCATTTTTCAGAGAGGAAGAAATGGCAAATGCAGCCTATGAAGTATCTGTGTGCTCTTCTGGTTATAGAAACCATGCAGAAACACCACTTTTGGTATTGCATATGAAAGCTGAATCAGCCTGCACTTAGAGTATCTTTCCTTGTTCATCAAAGACTTGACAATATGCTTTTAAGTCCAGTACTTCTGGCACTGAGAGCTTCTACAGCTCCCTCAAGAAGTTACAAATCTTGCACCCAGGTCTCCGCTGTTGTCCCAGAACAGGCAACTGGTCAGCTTTCAGTCTCATGGGTGCTTCATGGGCTGGGCTATTTCCATTTGTACCACACATGAATAACCTCTCCTGGTTTATTCTGGTCAGGACACCTGTATTTGCCTTGCAGTCAGAGCAGAAGCTAATACAAGGGTGCTTTTAATCTGGTTTTGCAACAGTGAAAAAGGATCTTGGTTCAGACTAGTTCTACTTTTTTATCTTTTTGTTGTTGTTGTTTGTTTCCCAAAGGTCAAAAGCAGTCTTTAAGAATCTTGGGGAAGATGATTTGGGAATTTATTCCTGTGTTGTTACGGACACTGATGGAGTTTCATCAGGCTACACAATTGATGAAGAAGGTAGACACACAGTGTCTTCTAAGCATGCTTGTTTTGCTTTGCCTTCTGTTTCTTCCTGCTTTTGTCTTTGTTGTATCCATAATATCCATGTATGACTTCATATCTTTTGCAGAAATGAAACGCCTGCTTGCTCTGAGCCATGAACACAAATTCCCAAGTAAGTGAATCAAACGTGTCTGTAAGGGAGAGTTTTGTGTGCACTGGGGTCTGTATCACAAAGCTCCTGCCAGCATCAGATAGGGAAGTTGCTAGACTGCTTTCAGATGAGTGTTTTTGAATTGAAAACCTACGATTCCTTTATTTTTCACTCTTTCACTCACAGCATTGCTGATACTCTTCCCGCTCTTTTGCGGGTTACTGATCTAAGTATATACTAAGTATATGCTCTATGTCGGATTGAAAATAAGTATCCTAATGGTTTTATTTCTTCTTCATAGCAGCTTTTTGTCTTGGAATGCCTAGCCTGATCTGAACATTCTAATTTGAAAAATTTTCTGCCCCTCTAATTTCATCTCAGCTGAAATTTAAAACAATTTAAAATTACGGTTAACAGAGCAAGCAATGTAGTTCTCTATACAGAATTTTTCTGCTGAAATTTGTCACACTCTTTTCTGTTCCTCTTGGAGATGTAAACACTTTTCCTGCTGCTTGGGATGATACTTTTGCCAAGTTCACAGATTTCTTACACTTTCATGATATCCTGACAGTGGCACAACCTTGTTCTTCTCAGTGGAATGTTACTTGAATAATTGAAGAAAACAATAATAAGAAAAATAAGAAAACAATGGCACCTCTGCCAGCCCAGCCTGCATCATTCCTCTGAGCCCCACCACAACTTGGCCACACAAATTGCCTGTCTTTCTGTACATGTCATTTCCCTCCAAGTCCTTTCCATGTCAGCTCTGCTCTTCTCAATATTTTGACAGCCCAAGCACCCCATTTACTTCTCCCAACCCTATCTTCACTCTGAGCATGAGTCATCACAGCCCCTTATTGCTGTCACCTGTCCTTACTTGCCCCAGCCCTTCTCTTCTCAGCTCTTTGCCACATTCTGTATTAATAACTAATGTAACAAAAATAAGTTGCTTGGGACACAGAACGTGGGTCTGGGTTTTTTTTATTTGTTGTTAGGTGTTAGTACACTCCCAGCTGTGCATGGAGCCTCCAGGGGAAGCAGGTGAAATCAGAAGAGGGGAAACTCTTCTAGCTTTGGGCATGCTAGGCCCTGTGAACAATACAAAATTATCAATTACAATTATAGGTCGAAACATGTCTTCATTTATCTGTGAGACTGGGAAAATAATAATGAGCTATGGATCAACATGAAACTTCTGTCATCTCTCTGAGTAATTACAGAACTGTGGGGGTTAGAAGGGACCTCAAGAGATCATTGAGTCCAACCCTCTGCTAAAGCAGGTTCTCTCCAATAGGTCACACAGGTAGCATCCAGATGAGTCTTGAATATCTCCACAGAAGGAGACTTTGCAGCCTCTCTGGGAAACCTGTTCCAGTATTCTGTTACCCTTACCATAAGGAGCTCTTCTGCATGTTAGTATGGAACTTCCTATGTTCAAGTTTTGGGCCAAGGCTCCTTGTCCTATCGTACACACTGCTGAAAAGAGCTTGGCCTCATCCATTTGCCTCTCACATTCTTTTAGATATTTATAAACACTAATCTGATGAATACCCAAATTCCTGACAAAAAAATGAGTCGCTGCCATTTCTGATTCAACATGAGCTCTTGCACGTTGTTTGGTTTGTATGTCTCAACTGCACTTAACTCTAACTTCTACTCAGAAACATCTGCAGCAAGTAACTGTGGGAAAATGAGTTGCTCAGATAATGTGGTCCTGCAGAACTCAACTGCTCTTGAACACAGTATTGTATTGGTGTTGGGTGCAAACAAATATTCCAGCTCTTCAGTTTAGCGCTAGCATCTGCCTGAAGATTTTCTGTCAACTGCACGTGGTAATTTGTGATGTTATACAAATAGGATGTGAAACCTTGAAAGTATGATGGCTTTTCAAAATCCCTGAAGACAGTTGGTGTTTTGTAAAATGGAAATATTTTGAAATAGGGTTATTGCTGGTGCAGGACTGTTACACAGACCTGTCTGATTACTTTAGATGGGGGAGTGAGTGGCTTTTTCCCAGAAATGATCCTTTTATGTCCTTTCAGCCTCTTCTTGAGCAGTTTCTGAGGTATTTTCTTCCTTGTTAGACTAAGATATTCATTGTTAATTGCATACTGGGACTTTGACGTTCCCACAGAGCTGACAGTGAAACAAAAGCAGAGCAGCCTGATGTCTGTTCTCACCCTCCTCCTGTTACTTCTGCAGGCTCTGTAGCATTTCTGGTGGTTTGTTCTGAAAAATTATGCAAGATATGACATGCCTTTTGTTTCTCACAAGCTAGTAGGGAAGGAAGCTTCACAACTGACTCCTTTTAATACTCCTGTCTCTCTAGGACTCATTTTTAAACGTTTTTCTCTTCTGTGTTTTTTCATCACTCTCTTTTTTCTTTTTTTTCCCTGTGTCTTCACCACCCAGAAGCTTTATATTCACCAAAGACGTGTTCTGTGCCACCAAAAGCATGAGCGTGGGAGGGTAGAGGTTCATGGAAAGGGTGCTCCTGTGAAAAGAAGATGCAGGGAGTCTTCACATGGGCACCACCTGGTTTGGCAGCGGTGTTCAGCCCCAGAAAGTATCCCACTGTTCAGAAATGTAGGATCATTAAGGTTGAAAAGACCTCTAAGATCACCTAGTCCAACCATCACCCCGTCTCCACCATGCCCACTAACCACATCCCTCAGTGCCACATCCACACGTCTTGAACACCTGCAGAGATGGTGACTCCACCACCTCCCTGCACAGCCTCAGTACCACTGCCTCGCTGCTCTTTCTGAAAAGAAATTTTTCTTAGTGTCCAACCTGAATTAGCATGGTGAAAAATGAATGATAAATGATGCCAGGTATTACACCAGTCCCAGTCCTCTCCCTGTAGTGAGGCTTCTAGGTAAGTAAAGTTTAGGGAAAACCCTGCCCTGGGGTTTGTATGGGAGGAGGTATTGGGTGACACCCATCACCACACACTTAATCAGGTGTTTTGCAATTTGTTTGTGCACTCTTCTCAGTTACACCCTTGCAAGGCAGACTTTACACTGCTGTGAAAGTGGAGTTTGGGGCAGAGGTCACATACAGCATGCATGCTCTGTGTATATGAGTTTGTTGGAAATTTGAGAGTCCACTAAGACAGGTAAAATGATGGAAAATAAGAAAATGAGCAAATATCCCCGGATATTGGAGTAGAAATGCCCCTGTTTAATGCTGCTGATTAAAATAACTTGACAAAAAAAGTGAAAGTAGTTTTACAAACAGGAACGAGAAAAAAATAAGACTAGTTTGTAGTAGAGCACTCTTTACAAGAATTTTTTTTCCTGCTTACACAGCTTATTGAATGTGGGGATTTCCATTATTCATAAATAAACAGATGTTTATTATTAATGGGGAAGTTTGGGGCATTTTGTGACATTCAGTGAATTCTGGAGATAAAGGTCCCACTCAGCAAGAGTCACTTACAAAAGTCTCCCAACCTGCAGTTCAGCAGCTGACTTTCTGATCTGCCTTTGTGCTTGTTTTATTTTGTTTTATCGTTTCCTTAATGAGTCACTTCACTGCCTTGCAACAACATTAAGTGACTCATTAAAGATGTGTTTGCACCAGGAAGGTTCACACTGTGCTGCAGAGATGCTTGCAGTTTACCTTTAGCCCCATGTTGGAATGGAGGGACCCCAGCACAATTCAAATTGCAAACATTTCAACTCTGTACCTAGACCTAGAGATAGAAAGATCAAATAATTCAATCTTGCCTGTTGCTCTGTGTAAATGTGGGTGGAGAGGCATTCCATTGGTACAAAGAGTTATTGTAAGCTAGTTACCTTGAGTACATTAACTGAATGGAAGAAGTGAAGAAAATAGTTGTTCCTATGCAGAAAAGTATATGCTTCATTCTTGTCTCTCTTCTTTGTAGCTATTCCACTTGCTTCTGAGCTGGCAGTAGAAATTCTGGAAAAAGGAGAAGTGAGATTCTGGTTGCAAGCTGAAAAATTGTCTGGCAATGCAAAGGCCAACTTTGTATTTAATGATAAGGAAATTTTTAATGGGGAGGTAAGGCTTTACAATTGCCTTTTTGTGTGTTTGTAACAAATGAGCACTAATATCTTCAATAGCTTCCAATTAGAATTCAATGCTAGTGCATTTTCATCAGAATTAATGTATGTCATTGAAAACACCACTTGCTAGAAAGACTTTGTCTATAGTTCTGAGCTCCAGCTAAATTCGACTGAATGAGTTTATAAACATCCTTCCTGCCTCCTTTGGGAGTACCACATGGTCTGTTAACTAATGAGTACTGTAGAAGGTCCTGAAATGTAGGGAAGCAAGTAATTGCAGGTAAGCAACTACTGTGGTTTTCAAGTAATCACTGCAGTAGCCCAGATCATCCAGTGTCTTTTATCTATGGCCACTTGTTCTCTCTTCTCATATCCTTTTCCTGTTTGGAGGAATGTGTTAAACCAAGGGAAAACTTGCAAGTGGTTGTTTTCAGCAGCAGAGCTTGTTATTCCCAAGGACAACCTGTGGCGTGTTTTTGTTGCAATACTGATAGTTAGATAGAGCACTCTACAAGGAGAGGGGACTGAAGCACCTCCCCTCTGAAGACAGCTGAGGGAGCTGGACTTGTTCAACCTGGAAAAAAGAAGGCTGCAGGGTGACCTCATTGCAGCCTTTCAATACCTAAAGGGAGCCTATAAACAAGAGGGGTAGATAATAACAGGACAAGGGGAAATGGTTTTAAGTTGAGGAAGGGAAGATTTAGGTTGGATGTCAGGGAAAAGTTCTTTACAGAGAGAGGTGCTGGAACAGGCTGCCCGGAGAAGTTGTGGATGCCCCGTCCCTGGAGGTGTGCAAAGCCAGGTTGGGTGGGGCCCTGGGCAGCCTGGTCTGGTATTAAATGGGGAGGTTGGTGGCCCTGCACGTGGCAGAAGGATTGTAGATTCATGATCTTTGAGGTCCCTTCCAACCCTGGCCATTCTGTGATTCTGTGATAGTGTCAGAGCATTCTATGCAAAATTTTTTTTTAAATGTTGACTCCTAAGCAATAGTGTTCTAAAGAGATACAAATCCGTGCCTTTCCAATGAAAAAGATCACAATACTCATCATAGAGCAGGACTGTCACATGCTTCCATCATTAACAGATTTCTTACTCATTTGGTTCTATGTTTAGAGCCAGGGAGAGAGATAGTGCGAATGAGAGCAAAGAAAGCAGAATTTCCCCCAAAGATATCAATGTTTGCCAAATATACGGTGATTCTGATATTCATTAATTAATTTACTTTCAATTCCTCAAGAAATATAAGATGAAGGTGGACCAGCATACTGGCCTTGTTGAAATGATTATGGATAAACTTGAGGACAAAGATGAAGGGACTTACACTTTCCAGCTGCAGGATGGAAAAGCAACCAATCAGTCCAGCCTGGTCCTCATCGGTGATGGTATGTGAATCTGTGCTATGCTGTAGGCTAGGAAAGTTATACCAAGGTTGGCAGTCATCACTTTTCCACTCTTTTCCTGATTTAGTACTATTAAAAGTTCGTGTCACAGCACTTGTCTGCCTCAAATAGAACAGAGAGCGTATGAGAACTGATACTTTAAAAGTGCCCAGAGGAAAGGGAGTTGTTCCAGAAATGTAAAATATTGAAGGCTGTCAGGGCTTGCTTTTCTACAGATGCAATGATATCAAGCCCAACCCCCCTACTAAAACAAGTTCCCTATATTAGATTGTGTAGAACATGTGCAGTATTACGTTGCTGAGAGAAAGAATGACCCAGTGACAGGATTCTCTTTGACCTCCAAAGGACAGAGTTGCACTGGTAACAATACTGCACTAATAAATCATATAGTCCACATAACCTCATATGCTTTAATGGTTTTCATTTCCAGTATTCAAGAAGCTGCGAGATGAAGCAGAATTCCAAAGAAAAGAGTGGCACAGGAAACAAGGTATGATAAGAATACTCACGATAATCATGTGAGTGTTAGTTTAAGAGTTTGTTTATATTAATATACTCTAAATTGAAATAGACATTTTTAATAGAGTCATAGAATCATTTGAATTGGAAGGGACCCTTAAAACACATCTAGTCTACTCTCTTGTGTAGTTGCTTACCTTCAGAAGGAGAAATGGGAAAAACAAAAACACTTCAAAATATCACAGTGTTCTTATGAAGAAAAAGGGATTTGTCTTTGTTTTTGTATCATGAATAGCACTCATGGTTTTAAAAAATATGTGTCTGTGACTTCGAACAGGTCCTCATTTTGTGGATCAGCTGGGATGGGAAGTTACTGATGAATGTAATGTGATGCTGAAATGTAAGGTAAGAGGTAAAGAAAACACTAGGTACAGGATTCCAAGAAACACTTTGATCAACATCTGTTTAGATGGCTAAGAGGACTAAATAGATGGCCTTTGGTTTTGGATTGCCAACTGCATATTGCGTACAGACAGAGCCATTGAAAGCACCATGGGCTAATCATGCTGGGGTGACTGCAAATGATCTGAGACTTGGGCAAAACTTACCTCCTTGTTCAGCTCAAAGCAGCTCAAAAACTGACGAAGACAGTGGTGAAAGCCAAACAGTTTGTACTCCTGCAGTATAATCAGTAAACTTTGGTTTCTTTGCAGAAACATGGTATCTGAACAAACAGCAGTGCGTTAGTTTCTGTGCATGGAAAAGGCTTATGCAAAAGAACCTTCAGCAAGGGAAATATTCTTGTTTCATACCCTTTGAGTATCACCACTTTGTTACTGGAGATTAGTTAGATGCACCTGCACAGCTTCCTAAGTCATTTAAGAGAGAGACTGGAACAGGAGCAGGGTAGGATGATGGTAACATTTGTTCTGGGGGAATGCAGAGTGCCTCAGCACCGTAATGCTGTCGTTCTCTGACGGCTCTCCCATCAGTTCGAGGCAGTGAGCTAGGTCTGTCATCCAGGCCCTTCATGTTTCCCCAGGTACTGTAAGCAGAGAAAAATCAGAACGTTGTGCTCTGGCTGCTTATTTCAGACAAAACACCTTGGAATATAGCTTCTTAAGTCTGTCATCCATCCATCCATCCAACCATCCGCCCTGAGCTGAGCAAAAGAGACCTTAATAGGTGTTGATGAGTCTTTGTGAATTCAAAGACTTTCTGATTATTGCCTGTTTACCTGTGTCAAAATCCCCTGGGCTAGATTCACAGGATCACTGGACTCCTTGAAGCTGTTGATAACCCTTTTTTCTCTCTTTTCTTCCCCTCTGTTTCCTCCTTGCAGCCTTCATTTTAACTGTGAGGCCTCCAGCAGCCTCCTTGTAACTCACTACAATCAGGTTGGAAAGCTTTAGCTATTCTTTCATGCTGACCCAGCATTCAAACAGGTTAATCCATGCAATGCGAGGTTCATCTGACCAAATGCAGAAAATAACTATGATACGATTTTTGTCCATTTTAGGTGGCCAATATTAAGAAGGAAACACATATTGTATGGTACAAAGATACCAGGGAGATAATGGTAGATGAAGAGCATGACTTTAAAGACGGTGTGTGCACCCTGCTGATATCAGAGGTGAGTGACTGTCTGTTCTAGTCCTCATCTGAATGTTGTGAATCAGGTGAAAGATATGATCTGGTATTTGAACAGAACAATCAAAAAAGGAAGCGGTTTTAAAAATGGAAAAACTCACAAGGCGTCTGCATTTTGTCTAAAACAAATTTCTATCTTTAAATGTTCATTCATGTCTTCAGGAAGTGATGAACAGAAGAGATAATAAGTGTGACACTTCCTTTGCGTATCAGTTCACAACAGAATGAGACTCTGTTTATGCTGTGACTTGCACTCGGGAAGTGCTGCTCGCTCTGAGCCTCATGGGAGCACCCTCTTGAAGTTACCCAACGGACTTGCTTGAGATTTACAATCTCAAGGTGTGGAGTCTGACTTGCATTAATCATTCAGTCTCTTTGGTTCTGGTTCTTCTAGCTGAGAAAGGGAATTAGCATCAGAGACCTGTGCAGATTGAGTCCCTCCATGAGCCCATCAAGGCACGGCCCAGCTGCCAAGCCCCATCCCACAGCCCCAGCCAGGAGTAGGGCACTGAGGGCACCAGGGCAGTCCCAGACATCAGGCACCTCCTCGGGGATGGGGGCAGGGTGAGGATGAACTAGGACGTAGATGTAGATTTTTGTACAGAAACTATTTTGAATACTGTTTTTACAGTTTTCTAAGAAAGACACTGGAATTTATGAAGTCATACTGAAGGATGACAGAGGGAAGGACATCAGTGAGCTGAAACTTACGGACACAGGTCAGTACCCTTTCTGCGTGCTGTAAGCCAAGCAGCCTGTAGGTGAGGTCGAGGCAATACAGACAGCTGCATGAATCACCTTCCTGTAGTTTCCTTCCTCCTGCATCTCACTAGAACAGTGCAGATTTTTCAGTATGAATAGTATTTGAGTATGCCTTATTGCATGTATAATGTTGGGAGAATGTGAAGACTGGTGCTAAGCTAGATCTTGTTTCCCCAGGGCTCATCAGTAGTGTAAGCCAACAATCATAAGAAGAAATTATAGAACTAGATATTTTTATAAGATTTCACTTTTTTATGTTTTTGCATTCATATATTTTGAGACCCTTCCACTCATTGTGACCACTTAATTTTCCAAGCAACTGGGGAAAAGTGAAATCTGTTATAATGCATATAGTTGGCTTGTCATTCCAACTGAATATGGGTATTCACACGGAAAAAAAAAGAGCATATAGTTTAGTTCTGCTGCAGCAGTATTCATCAAGGTAAAATAAAGTCTGGAAACTGTGGAATAACAGGCAAACACAGCTTTCTAATACATTTTAAAGTGTAGATCTGATTTACTTTTGGAACTGCCTGGGGAAATTATTTCAGAGGCAGTGCTTGTACTATGATTGAGCTGCAGACACAGTGTCTTAATTTATGGATCTTGTCTCCACAGCTTTTGCAGATCTGATGAATGAAGTATGCAGAAGGATTGGTAAGCATTTAAGTCACTTCTCTGATATATGACTAGTGACACTCAGTGAATGGCTGCAAATAAAGATGTGTTCTTCTTGCAGCTTTATCTGCAACAGATCTGAAAATCCAGAGCACAGCCGAGGGCATCAGGCTGTACTCCTTTGTCACCTACTATGTGGAAGATCTGAGAGTAGGCTGGGTGCACAAGTAAGTATGACTAAGCTTTGCAAAAGTTTGTGCAATTTGGTGTTTGTAGACTCAGAAAGAACCTAGATGTATGAGACAGACTAGGCCTACTTGTCTTCCCATTATCCCTCATGAGTCAGGGCTGCATTGCTTCAGAGAACTTCCACCTCTTGAATGGGAGCTGCTTCTTCCTCTGGAGCGGTTCTGAGGAGTGACATGTATAACCTATGGCACTGGCAAGCTCTGTTAGAGATCACTGCCTTTGGTTCAAAGATACCAGGCCTGGAGGCCTGCTTGTCCAAAAGCCATAATTCACAGGGACCAGGGCGAAAGGGCACATCCTCTTCATGCATGGGTTCACGTTTTGGAGGCAAAGCAAGTTTTAACATGTGCCCAGGGCAGTAAAATCCAGACAGGGCTTCCTGTGAGTTCTACAAGCCTAAATAGGACAGACAGGAGAACTGAGACTCTAGAAATAAACTTGAACGCCCAGCTCCCCATAAAATTAAAGGAAGCTGTGTACCCAAATCCATGAGACAGCTTTGAATTCTCAGTCAGTGTAAAGAGTTGTATTGGAAAACTCAGAGAAATAAACAACTCAGTTTACGTTAAATCTACTATTAGTATTCTTTCTGCTTCACTTTGTGTGGACATGGTAACAGTTTGAGATTTTCCCCTTTCTTGGCACCCATTTGATATAGTATCTCCACGTATCTCAAATGTTTGAAAACTGGAACCAAATATGAATTGTTCTGGATTTTTTTTTCTCTCTTCATTTTCTCTTTTTTTTCTATCATTCTTTCTTGTTGCTGTCTTTTCTCTATTTCATTTTTATAAATTAATTTAATCTTGAAACACGTGAAATTGATCTTTGACTCTCTAGCATATTCAAAGCCATCAATTAAAAAGAAAACGAACAGCTTGCTTGAGAAATATCATATCCTTCATCCAAGGCAATTAACTGTCGAGTTAAGAAGCTGAAAAAATTGATCTTTTTTGTGGAAGAAAATCTACTCATGTAAAAATGCATTCGATTGTGAAAGCCAAATCACAGCAGAACGTGAGGAAACATTGAAACTAAGCAAACATCATTTGTAACAAAAGTGGGATTTTTTTTGTAGGTACAGCCTTATATAGTTCTGCTGTGCCCAAGCAGAAATAAACTTATGCTAAGAAGAGAACATGAACATTTGAGGATACACCAGTCAGATGCATCTTCATTCTACAGACTTAGAAGAGAAATGGAAGTTGAACAGAAAAAGTCTGTAGGGCAGAAAAAGCAATTCTGCCCCTTTGGTCTACAGTTGACATTTGGCTTCAAAAACTTCAAAATATGATGGCGTGCCATTCTACCTTGGAAGTCATTTAGTAACTGCTGAGATTTCTCACAGAAAATCCCTTTTATATTCCACTAAAATGAAGGGGTAACACTATTTTGTGTTTTTCAGCGATACCCAGATTAGGTTTACAGACAGAGTGAAGACTGGTGTCACTGGGGAACAGATCTGGCTGCAGATCAATGAGCCAACTCCACAAGACAAAGGCAAATACACAATGGAACTCTTTGATGGTAAAACTGGACACAAAAAGACAGTGGATCTTTCTGGGCAAGGTAGGCTGGTCACACTGTTAATACTACCTGAACATGGGTGGAGTGGGCCAATGCTACAGACCTTTTGGGTTGTAGGGTCTCTGCATGTTGCGTCCAGCTTGGCATTCTGCGGTAGTGTCATCCATTTGCTTCATACTGTACTCTCAAGTTATAAATTATAATTGACTTTTTCCTGTCCAAATACCAGTCTGCAGCTTGACTTCGAGTTGCCTACGGAGATGTCAGCCCAGTTTTTGAGTTTTCCCACAAAACCCCATGCATTGATGGGCAATGTTAAACACAAGTTATAGTGTTGAATGACTTCTCTGTCTTTCTTTCAAATAATATTTGGAAGAGGAAGTGAAGGACAAGTTTGTTCTGTTACTTTCCTATGTATTTCTTTGATGGATATAACAGGGCTCCTTATTCTTCAGAGATGTCGAGACTAGTCCCTTTCATCAGCACAATGAAGGAATGTTTCAGGAACATATAAGATTAATTTGATTGACTGATGGAAGCTCTTACTCTGAGAGAGCTCTCACATCCCAGGGAGAAGATTAACTGCTTCAGAGTGGCTGGCTTTCTGTCTCAAGCATTTCCCATCCCTAAAGCTTCTCTTTGGGCCTGTAACATCTCTGGAAGGCCAGTAAACTTACAGTCATCTCCAGGTTGCTCCTTCTGTATGCTATCCTCAATTTCTGAGAAAAAGAAATTTTTTCTTCCCTTTCAAAGTAGGAGATGTTGACCAACCACGTGACATTAGCTAAACCTGAATTTATGAAGGAGACAAGAGTTTGCTGTTTGTTTGTTCGCTGTTCATGGCCATCAGTGCAATGCTTTAGAGCAGAGGTGAAAAGCACTTGGAAAAAATAAATCTCTTGTACCCATAAGCCAGTGGTCTATGAAGTGAGATGCACAAGACAGTTTACTAGGTTGTGGGAAGGAAGCATGAAAACTTCAGTAACACCAGTATGTAATTTATAAATAAATTTATGTACTGGGACGTATGTGCTCAAAACTGTTTTTACTAATAGAGGTATGTGATCAAAAAAGCTTGAATAGCATTATTGTGATATATTTTGGATTACTTCCTCTGTTTTATGCGGTCATTTCAACCTAATGTTCTTTCCCTATGTCTTTGTGTTAAATTTTTAATTTTAGTAGAGAAAAATAAGTGTTTATGCGTGCGTATGTGTGTAAATAGTTGCTGTATACATGACTGCCTTTATCAGTTGAATCATTTAGCACTGTAGAAATTATATAGTATCACAACATGCTTCCATACATTAATATTTCTTTAATGATGTCTATATTTATAATTTAGTTCCACATTTTAAAATGACATTTGTGATAGCCTATGTTTGAACCTACCTTTAAAATCAACTTTTTTCTTTATCAAGCATTTGATGAAGCCTTTGCCGAGTTCCAGAGATTAAAGTAAGTATTATGCAATCCAGCAGTAGAACCCATAAAATAATAAAGGTATTTGTTTGTTTTGTGCTAGAGCTAAAAATAAATCCTAGTCCTACAGAAACCTGTAGGAGTTTTGCATGTGACTGCATTGCAACAGTTAGGTAATGAAGAAAAAGCAGTATTGCCAAATGATGAGAGGCGTTTTCTTTAACTGATCAAAGATAACTTAAGAGATAAGCTATCTATTTTTCAATCACTCTATGTAAACATTAAATGCAATTGAATTTTCTCTTTGTTTCTTTTCAATCCAGGCAAGCTGCAATTGCAGAGAAAAGTAAGTGAGGCTTCTTTGATAGTAATTGCAATAAATGGTTTATGAAGGTTCTCTCCCTATACAGGAAGGTTGCCTGTTGGGAGAAAGAGGACACGTATGCATGTGTACATGTATGTGCATGTCCTAACTCTGGCTGGCCTAGCACTAGGGGGAAGCAAGAAGAGTGATTTAATATTTGCACATTGCAGCTAATGACACTGTAAATGTGGGTTGTGTGGATATTTTCAGCCTAAGATCTTGTTCTCATTACCAATTGGCTTTATCCAAAAATCACTTCTGTTGTTGAGATATCTCATGTATGTTTTATGCCCAAAAGACACTCTGTTTTCTGAGATAGAGGAAATCACTCAGCTGGTTTTGAACTATTTGAAATGTTAAATGGCTCTGCGTTAAGGAGGTGGGTAAGGAAGCAGCAGAACCTTTTGCATAGTCTAAAGACAGGTCTGGGAATCTTCTGGCACTTTTGGATACATTTCAATTCCAACACAACAATTAAAATAAAAATATGTAATAATTGTCTGAGGAATAAGTCATTAGAATTCAAGTTGGTTTATTAAGGTGAGTATTTTTCCTGTTTCCAGAAAAATCTGTAGGAAAATGTAACAACACAAACAGTTATCTCAGTGCAGGTGATTTCCAGACCTGTATAAAAACAAAAGCAGAACTGGATTTTAAGAAAAACAGAGAAAAATGGATAGAGGGATTGGAGCTAATTCCTCACTGTACATAGACTCCAAAGAGAAAGGAGTTTGGCTGTGCTATATACAGCAATTCCTGGTAGGCCCAGCTGAGATAGCAGGAAAGGACCAGTAATGACCCTGCCCTGGGCAGTTCATTTCTAACTGCATGATTCATAGAGGGATGGCAGATACAGTGTAGTCATGCTCCATCAAGTTGTCATTTACTCCAGAGTGCATATTTTACAGAGTGCATTAGATGAGAATATTCTCTATTGTCCTTTCCTTGCTCTGCCAGACTCCACCAAGATTATAACTAACCTAATCATTGCCCCAGAATAAGTGCATCAAAGCTTGCATGTGATCAGCTTATTTGTATTTATGTAAGATTCCTATGGGACTTTGAGCTCGAAGCTGTAGGCCAGATACCTATCCTGTTTACATGGAGATCCATGCAAAGCAGAGAAATTTCACTGCTTTCACTGAGACTGCAGCCTTTTTTAGATCAAAACATAAGCTCTAGCACTTTCTTAGCTGCCATTTATTTCTTCTCAAAAACATCACTTCTCATCTATCCCGCTGTTTACGGCACTGGATCTCAAAAAATCAGTATTATTATTTTCTGTATGTAATCACAAGTAACTGTGAATTGATTGTGAAATGTGCAGGATGCACCACGCGGACTTTAGTTCTGCCCGGTAGGTGACTGACACCAGCTGCTAACGCTTCTTTTGCTGCGAATGGAATGTTTCTAAAGTTCAAATGGTGTGCTGAGAATGCTGAGTAGTTCTCTCCCAGCACAGATATCAGAGACACGTTGTACATAAATAAGATAAGAGGAAAGAACTGGAGGGGGAACAGAATCTGGGACGCAGTTGATTTTGAGACACCAAAGTAAATTATGCTCATTTCCTTTCAGATCGCGCCCGGGTGCTTGGAGGTTTGCCCGATGTTGTCACCATCCAGGAAGGCAAGGTACAGTGAATTCATTGAAGCTTTACCCAAGAGCCAAACAGCTCAAATGTCTTTCAATGACAGCAAAATATTCTTTTTTTTTTTTTTTTTTAATTTTATTTTTAAAGATTCCATCTATGACATCCGTCACATTATTCATTCCCTGTCTTCTGTACATAACTCAGTGGTCTTGCACAGATGGGTTTATTTATTTGGGGCAGTGTCTTTTCTTAAGAATTAGATAAAAGTGAGACAACAGTGTGAGCTGTGATTCAAACTCCTTATGTAACCAGCTGTTTAAAAATTCATACACAGGCCTCACAGTTAGTTTTTTACTAACAGGGTGCCATTGATATAGGCTCCACCAGGGAATGTTTTAATTCCCTTTTTCTTATAGGATGGCTACTCATTCTGTACCTGATGAAGTTAACTTTTTCACAACATGGCACTACAGTCAGTAGTCTGCCTTTTAAACAGCATAAAGCTAGTAAATTGTAACTCAGTTCTTTTCCAGACCAAAGGAGAAAGTTTTCTGTATTTCATCAGCATAAGTGGGAAATGAAGTCAGAAGGCACTGGCATTACACAAGATTATATCAGCAGCATTTAGCAAAAAGATTATTGTAAGGCACTCTTGGGAACATGGCTGTGCCACTGCTCAGTCATAGACCAGATGCCCCAGGAGGTCAGTTTGTACTCCCATAAACTTTCCCCAGCACTCTGCTCCTACAGGTTGTAGTACAGTAGGACTGAGACTAAAAGCAATTGCTCTTCAACTCCCTCTGCTCTGCCACCAGCCACTTTCTTTCTTAAATGTGGGTGTGCACCAAAAGTAGGCATATGAGCACAGCTGAAAACTTGTAACATGACAACTACTGCAAAACAGCTGCCTGGTATTTCCACGTTCGCTAGTAGTGGTTCATCTGGGTTAGAGGTATTTGATAATGAGTTGGGCAGAAATGTTAAGACTAAAATCTTGGTCTCTTAACATTGTAATCCGTAGCTATCAGATAGTGGGCTACAGCAATTCAGGGAACACTGAGCATTTTGGCATTGTAAAGTGAAACACCATTTGATAAACCTTTTCACTGAATGATTTAGCAGCTCTGGGAATACTGTAAAAACAAGCAGCATTCATACAAGTATTTTAATGGTAGGTGGAATACAGAAAGGAATGGAGTGCATTTGCAGACTCTCATCTAATGCTGCTTGTGCTTGAAGATGAACTTCTCATACTGCTTTGGCTTGTTTTCAGTGTTAAGCTCTCTGCCAAAAAGAGTCAAAGCTGAGTATAAGCTCGCTGAAGCAAATTGTGTACATTTGACAAAAAAGGGAGTTTGTAAAAAACGAGTTGCAAAATCTTACCCAGACACTCATTGCCCTTGAAAGCAAGGACATTTGTGACGTTTGAATAAGTGAATGGAAAATTCCCAGAACTTGAGACAAATATCCCTGACCTCATGATTCTGAACGCAGTAGATGATTGTTTTGAGAAAGAGAGTAGGACAGAGAGTGTTTGGGGAATGCACTGCTTGTTTGGGTGATGTTGGCTCATCTGCCTATTGCTTGCACACACTGGAGAAACAGGAAGGCAGTTCTCTGCATCTGTTGTGTAATCCATGCAGACTGCACAATCACCTTTGAAAAGGAGTAAATGCAGTAGCAGAAGACTGGCAATAGCAAACTCTGATTCTGAATAGCCATATTCAGTCATAACTAAGTTCTATGAACAGAATGGTACTGCTATATTGAACTTGAAGCATATGTGTATCTCAGTCACAGACTTAATGTTGTGATTGTAATGCTATTTTCTGGCTTTCTACAAGCGAGCTGAAGGTATTGCATCTACCAGAGCTGATCAAACAGTGCTCCAGATGGCCTAAGAGGCTTCTGCTGACATACATAAATGCACTTCAGCATGGGGATATAATTGGAAAAGGCTAAGTGTCAGCTCATGTTAGGGAGAATTTATCTGACAGAAAATACTAGCACAAGTTTTGTGTACAGACAGTCAGATTAACCTAAGTGGCTGTTTTATCAAAACTAAGAGGGGGTTATTTTTACAAGAACACTCTGGATCCTGACAGATTTACACTTTCAAACGTGAAAGCAATGCATTACATCCCTCTACACACCAGCTCCCCATTCTCCCCTTCTGCTGGGGGTTGGTGCCTCCACAGGTAGGCTGGAAGAAGGGAGTGAGTTCCCATGACTTTGTTGCTTTAACTCACACACTGCCCAAACTACCCATGAAGGTATGTGCTAACACGCAGGGAGAAGAGCGGTACCTGGAATACAGGTATTGCCCTCTCCTGCTGTACTTCCCTTCTCATGATAATCTGCAGTGTAAGACAGAAAAGACAAGCAGAAATACAAAAGGCCTGGACCTGAATCACCTAGGTGCTCCAGTTGTATAGCCATCTGTACCCCAGCTACAGATTTAGGTTGTGAACTTCTCTGTGGAACTCCGAAATATTGAGAGGTGAGGTTTGCTCATGCTCATGAGGTTTTTCAGATGGATCAGATTTCCTGATAGATGCCATAAGGTCTAGACGTGTTTTGAGTCCTAATTATGATAAGAACACATAAGCAAAGAGAGTATCCTGTTCAAAGAACAGAAAATCTGCAGCTGATAGATACAGCCACAGTGGGTAACCACTTCCATTTGGCTAAGGTGCCATAATTGTGGAGCTGTCTTCCAAAAAAACATTGGCATGACCGAAGATCTCGCCATCTACATAGTGAATAATAAGATATATCTCTGCATAGTAGTTGCTGGAAAATCAGCAATAAGAGTTGGAAACATCCGGAGGAGAACCAATTCCAAACAGGAGCTAGTGATGTGAGGTTAAGCAAAATGTGACTGTTTTAGGGAATGACTTTGCAGTGATGACTCTGTCTTTTGCTACTGAACCTCTTTGAATTAAAGAGTACTGACACCACTTCAAACACCTGAGGTTTGCATAAGGTCACTCACACAGCACTCTGGATGAGGACATAAGCTCATTAGCATCTTGCAGTGGCAGCTGGGGCAACTCAGAAATGAACTCATGCTTGCTAGAAAACTAGAACACAATAAAGAAATACTGAGTACTGCAAGGGACATGTGTGTAATTCCTGGCTGAGACTAAAGCTGATGGCATGTTTGTATTGACAGTGTTAAAGGAAAGGGAGAAATGTAAAGCCATTTGTTTTCTTCATGTTTTTCAAAAAGATGGATTGATACGGTGGTCAAAACCACATTCTCACAAGTGGGCTACAAGTGAAGGCATTCACAGTCCCCATGTTATCATCAACTGTAGGTGCTGCAGGATGTAAGATAGAGGCTGTTTCCACCAGGCTTTAACCACCTCACACTCAGGATGCGTCTTTCCGTCAAGATACATGTGTTGCCAAGATATATGTGTTGGAGGTGGAGGAAATATTTTGCCTTCCCTTTTGTTCTCATTTTAATCTTTAGGGGATGTGGGATTTATGTTAGTTCGATTTTTGTTCTCAGAAGTGTTTATTTTAATAGAGTTCTCAATTTTTACCCTATCTTTTCATTTCAGTAGCTTTCTGGATGCCTTTATTCTGTCCCATCTTCCGCTGTCACACTACCAGATAAGGAGCAGGGAAGGGAAAGTAGCCTGTTAAATTGATTGCTCACAGTGGCCTTTTACTGTGACAGCAGTAGTGCCCAAATCTGAATCCTTTCCAGTTCCAGCCTCTATTTTGAATGTTTGGTTTTTTTTCTTATCAAGAGGCTTTAAGAAAAATTGAGGAGAAACTTGATTTCAGTCAGGTGGAGCCACAGCCATCATTCCTTATGTATCGCTGAACACCTTTTTCTCTGCAGTAAAAGTCCTTCAAATTCCACTAGAGAAAAGGTTAGATTCTGCTTTGACCAACATTTTAAGTTTGGCCCCATGCACTATTGGTACTTAGCAATAAATTTACTCCTCCCTAAAGAAAGGCCCAGAGAAAGGCATTTGTGCCTCTGAGGTCTCATGTGAAAGCTTTTCGCATTTGGCTCTCTATGTGACGTTTGCTTCGGCAAAGTCTGTGAGAATATTCCCACAGCACTGTGACCAGAGGAGGGGATAACCTTACTAGCATCAAAGCAAAATATTTACATAAGCACCAAAGAAACAGTAAAGTTTGTTTTGATTTCCATTAAAAACTGGTTTTATAGGAGTGAATAAAACAATTCAAATCCATTGGAGGAGCTGTCAGGGCATGGTATGTAAAGATCCTAAACTGAACAAAATATTCCAGGGACATTTCGAACTTAGTTACTATTTTGAAAAGGAAGATGCTTTCTTCTGTAGCAAATATATAGAGAGCTTAACCTGAACAAATCTGCCTGGTAGGTCCTCAAATTCTTATTTTATGTCTTACACAAAAATGCAGGTAATAGATGATTTTATATTAAACATTATGCATGGAGAAGGCCCTGGTAATCAATTAGAGAAGAAGGTGCATAAAATATTGAAAACTTTGTAATGGAGTTTTCAAATTGAGTTCCTTCTTTTCCTTTATAATAGAGGAGACTGATAAAAACTATTGATTGCTGATGATATGCATCCATTTACTAAAAGCAGGAAGAGAAATGCAGAGAGAGGGAACATTTGTAAAATTATGCATCAAAAATCACAGCAAATATTTATTGACTTATATGCAATCCTTTTGTACTTTTTCTGTAGGCACTCAATCTGTCTTGCACTGTCTGGGGAGATCCTACCCCAGAGGTCTCATGGCTGAAGAACGAAAAATCGTTTGTGTCAGATGCTAACTGCATCCTGAAATTCGAAGCTGGGAAAAATGTCAGCTTCACCATTTCTGCTGTGTCCACACACGACTCTGGGAAGTACAGCCTTGTGGTGAAGAACAAGTATGGAACGGAGACCAGCGATGTCACCGTAAGTGTGTTCATACCAGAGGAAGAGCAAGAGAACAATAATGAAAACAAGAAAACGAAAGCATGAATTTAAGAGTAGAAACAAAAGCATAGGGGAGATTTTGGATGACAATGTTGACATAAAATGTGTGTGTAAATGGCTTTCTGTTTTAGCAGGTAGCCTTGGATTTTTCCATTCACTTCTCTTGTGTTTCTAATGTGCTCAATTGTGCCAGGGAAAATAGTGCCTTTCCTAAATACTTCCTTACTGCTAACTTCACAAAACCTAGCTGTGCCATCCTCACTAGGCCAAATGCATGCTGGCTGTAAACACATTTGCACAATTTTACCTCGTTCCTGGGGTGTTGGACCCTACCAACTCAGAGTGAAGAAGCATTTGAGTGGAGGCAACTGACAGGATAGATGGAAAGACTGAAAAATGATCAAGGCATTTTGAGCAGCAGTTTAGATTTGTTCCAACCTTGGTAATGTAGCGTAGATGGAATGTGTTAGCAAATACAAACTACAGAGAAATTAGTGCTGGTCTTCGTCTACATTAAGGCCCCTCTGTATTGCTGTGTTAATTTAGAGAGGCCTTAATATGGGTGTAGGTTACATCCATAAGTATTGCTTAATCTGCCCAATTGGGGTAAAAGTACTGTAATATAAATGAAAACTAGACTTAGGAGGCCAGAAAACTAATGTGTGCATGTGTCTGCAGAAATGTATGATCTCTATGTTCACAAATAAATGGATTCATTTCTTTCATTCTATCACGAGTTTGTCTCACTGTGTCATGTTTTGGAGGTCACGGCTATCCTGGTTGTTCACATCACCTTACCATCTTAACACTCACCACTATTGCTTTTAGCTTTCCCTTAGAACCACGTTAATCTTCACTTAAGCTTTTACCAGAAAAACCCTGATGGCATCACTTCACGTTTTTCTGTCCAGACCTTCACTGCTTCACAACTCACCAAGGCATTTTTGCCAATTCAGCCACAGGAGTAGTTTCATGTGGTTCTGATCGTGAATTTTGATAGAAGGGTATTAGGTAAGTACATTGTTAGACTGAAATCGCAGACAATTTCATCCACAATTAACACTGGAGGAAATAATATATTTATTCAAGATTCTTTGAGAATACAAAAATAATTTTCATTGGAAAGTAGAAAAAAATTTTTTTTCAGGCAAAAGTATTTCAGAACCTTCATCCAAATCCAAAAATATTTCAGAACCATTCATCCAGATCCAGAATACACTTCTATATATTAAAAGCTCCTTGTTAGCCATTTTGCCACAATATCACTGATTATTAACTGAAGAGTAGCAATGGAACATGTATCTATTTCCGTTCAATTGGATGTGTACGTATCATATGATGCAGAAGATATTTTGTAAGGGTATTTAGCAACAGGACAAGGGAAATGGTTTTAAACTGGAATAGGGTAGGTTTAGAGTAGATATTAGAAAGAAATTCTTTACTGTGAGGGTGGTGAAACACTGCAACAGGTTGCCCAGAGAGATTGTGGATGCCCCATCCCTGGAAGCATTCAAGGCCAGGCTGGATGGGACTTTGATCAACTTGGTCTAGAGGGAGGTGTCCCTGCCCATAGCAGGGGTTTGGAACCAGATGATGTTAAAGGTACCTTCCAACCCAAACCATTCTATATGATTCTATGATAAATGCTCATAAGCTGTTTTCGGCCCAATTGCTAACTAGGAGAGTAATGTGCCATATTAATAATTCTTTTCAGAATTAATCTCAGAATAGCACAGTTCTCCACATCAAAATCTAAAGAACTGCTGTATGTATTCTCAGTGTTCTATATAAGGATATATCTGAGTGCACCCTTTACATACTTTCCCTTATCATTTTTAACTACAGCAACTGCAGAAACAGTGGTGTTTCCTAGGCACTCATTTTATTGCAGTACTGGCTTTTCAGGAAGAAAGGACAGGCAACTTGGAGAGAGTACAAGGAAGTTGCTAGCATATGCAAAGTGAAAATCAGAAAGACTAAAGATCAGTATGAGCTCAACCTGGCCACTGTGGTAAAGGACAAGAAAAAGGAGGCCTACAGAGATCCAGCCAGCATGGATTCATGAAAGGCAGGTCTTGCTTGACCAAACTCATCTCCTTTTAAAACCAGCTTGACAAGCCTGGGGGATGAAGGAAAGTCTACTGACATAGACTCAATTACTGGAGCCCATCCAGTTCAGTATCTTTATTGATGATTTGGATGAGGGAATCGAGGGAACCCTCGCTAAGTTTGTAGAAAACTCCAAGTTGGAAGGAAGTGTCAATCTGCCTTTGAGTAGGAAGACCTTACAGAAGAGTCTGGACAGGTTGGATCGATAGGCTGAGGCCAATGGGATGAAGTTCAACAAGACCAACTGTGAGACACTGCATTCTGGTCACAACAACCCCAGGCAGTGCTACAGGGGCAGCTCTGCTTGGGGCAGAGTGGCTGGAAAGCTGCATGGAGGAAAAGAACGTGGGAGTGTTGGTCAACCTCAACTGAACGTGAGTGAGCAGTGTGCCCAGGTAGCCAAGAAGGCCAATGGCATCCTGGCTTGTATCAGAAATTGTGCTGCTAGCAGGAGCAGGCAGGTGATCATTCCTCTGTACTCAGCACTGATGAGGCCACACCTTGAGTACTGTGTTCATTTTTGGCCCCTCACTACAAGGAAAACATCAAGGCCCTGGAGTGTGTCTGGAGAAGGGCAACAAAGCCAGTGAGAGGTCTGATTGGCCCCTCCTCATAGGTAATACCGATAGGAAAGAGGGAATGGCCTCAAGATGCACCAGGAGAGATTCAGGTTGGATATTAGGAAAGATTTCTCCAAAAGAGTGGTGAAGCATTGGCATAGGCTGCCCAGGGAGGTGGCTGAGTCATTGTCCCTGGAGGTGTTTAAGGAAAGGGTAGATATTGGAACTTAGGGACATGGTTTAGTGGATAATATCTGTGGTAGGTGGAGGGTTGGACTAGATGATCTTAGAGGTCTTTTCCAGTCTTAATGATTCTATGATTCCATGCTTCTGTGAAGATGACACTAATAAGTTCTACTCAGCTAATGCTTACTTAAATCCTTACCATCTGAGGCTTACTGCCAGCCATAGCTAATGATGAAGGCCAAGTGGATGTGTGAGGGATTTCTTAATGTCCAGTACAATGAAAAGTACTACATGCTACCTTTATCTGGCATAAATTTATTTTCTTCTAGAATTAATTTCACATCAGAGGGATTTTTAACATTAAATTACATAAAAGTGTTTTCAGAATCTCACATAAACAGCAAATGTATTCAGTCATTACACAATCTTATCTACTAAAATACTTCAAACTCAAATATTTAATGGGATTCTTGCAATCTTAAAGTGTGCAATTACGTACATTAATGAATCACAATCTCAGTTAAAAATAGTTCAGACTATTTAGTTAATGTAGCTGTCTTTCAAAGTAAAATTAATTCATTATTCATCTTCAAAATACAATCAGGGGAATATCTGTAATTTGAGATGCAGCAAGCTTTCTGAGTTTAACAAAGAAATATCAAATTATTTCACAATTTTACTTAGTATGATAGGAAGCCAGCCCAAGGATGAAAAGTAGGTCATTCTGCCCTGGTCCTAGAGCATGTAAAAGCAACATTTCATCTCTTGTCCATCTTCCCGAGCCCAAACAAGAACTTGACTTGCCCCTTGCAAAACCTGATGCTTATTACTTAGTATTAGCGTAATCTAAATAAGGATTGCATTTGGGCAGTAGCTTGTTTCTACTACTTCATCATCTAAAATCTGCTCACCTGCCTCTATTCATTCAGCAGAACCGCAAGGTAACACAAGAAGTGGGCCACCGCCCAGATAATCTGGATTCTGCATCCCTTTGGTTCAGGAGGTGTACATGCCCTAAATTATAGTTGTTGCCATACATATTGCTTCCAGGGACTCAGCAATGATGATTTCAAACAAAATTTGTCACATATTACCATTTCTTGCTTGTGCAATTTTGTTCTTGCTCTGCTACAGGTGATTGTGATTACTGTGTCAGGCCAGACTGACACAGCTAAGCACACTGTTAGCATCTCAGGACAAAGTCAAAATAATATAACTGTACCCAAAAAGAAAAAAGCAACTACTATGAGCAAACCACAACAGGAAAAGGAAAAGAAAGGTAAGAACACTTTCACCTTTACAGATGGCCGTTCCAAAGGAAAAATTGTTAAATGTTATGCAATAATACAATCATTGCCTTCCAGGTCTCCAACAATCCAATTTACAGCATGCATGCTCTTAACAGACAACAAATGCAAAGCTGGAATTCCAGGTTAAATAAAACCTAGTGATATTTAAATCAACACTTTTAAATCCCTGTCCCACTGAGCTACAGGCTCCCATCTTGGCTTACCTGACTGACAAAAGCTTTTAAAGCATAATAATTCAGTCCAATTGCTGATTGCAGAGAAAACTCGTATACACACAGAGATTATTTTTATCAGCTAGACAAATGGCACTGTCAAAAAAATAGGCCAGGGTAATTGAGAGACCACAGATGCCAAAATAACTTAATTTTCTCAACCAGTTTTTAGTTTTTTTCTGACCATATAGCTACTGTTTGAAATCAGTGAATTGTTCTTTCTCAGTTTTATCTCCACATTCGATGACAAATTTGGAATTACAACCATTTTTCCACTCGGACTAGAGGAAGAGCAGAAAACAAAAAGGTCTCTGGTGATCCAGCATTCTTGCATACTACAGATTGTTACCCTTATTTTAGACTCTTCTATAAATGCTGCTGGGACATTGATTTATTTTTCACAATTACATTTTCCTCATTCAGAGCATCTTATCTCCAAATAAGGCTTAAATTCCAACATTATCAGAATACCTATTTTATATACTTTGCCCAAATACTTTTTGTTTATATACATTTGCACAAACAAAACATTGCAAAAATGTTATATCATTATGACAGACCATTTTATATTCTTATTTCCTCCCCTTTCTGTTGCTAATGCATGAAGCAGTAATTAACTGCATTTCTTCTCTCTCTTGGTTGCTGGTATGGGTGACTTGGACATTTCTGAGCAGTTCTGTAAATGTGATTACTTACATGAGAAGCAATTATTTCTGTGTGTACATATTCTGCAGGTCCCGTCCATTAATTTATTTAATTAGGGACAGAAATATTTGGTCTTGTTTGGCTCTCTGAAAAGTACTGACGCTATTTGTGATACTGGATGTCTTTAAATGGGTGTGGGAAAAGGAATGGAACATACCTCCATAATGCTGAGCATTGTAAATATAAAATACATTTTATTACTTCTCCTAAATCAGATATTAAGCCACACGTAGATGAAATTATTGCCACAGAAGAGACATCTGATTCAAAAGAGATCCCCAGAGTGGAAAAAGAAAAGAATACAGAGAACAATCAACAGACAGAAAAGAAGACTCATGGAAAGGCTGCAGCAGCAAGAACAGTTCCTTAACCTATAGAAAGCCTGGGAACAGGGGAAAAAAATCACTGGTGAAAAAAAGCCTTGAGTTAAATCCTGTGTTCTTGAATGAAGAGTATGAATTTGCTATGATCTTACTACGTACTAATAAGTTCAAGTTGAGATTTCATGGGTGATAGACTAGCCATATTATTTTAACACAAAAGTGTGAGTGTTTTTATATGATTCATAATACTTCATAACTTTAAATGCACAATAGGTGTGCAGTTACGTCTCAGTATCAGAGAAGCTGTATTGCAGTCATTGCTAAGTATCACAACGACCAATTACTAACAAGGTAATTTTAATTATTAAAAACATCCATGAGAAGCAGAGGTTATTAGAATGAGACCTATCTAGAAGCGACTTCTCTACTAGTCTGTAAAAGAATGCTGAAATCAGTTACATGGATTTGTTAATCAATACCTGTAGACCATCATATTTTGAGGCAAACACCATTTACCTTCTCTGAGTATTTATGATCCTCTTAATGCCTTGTGGGTGACACTCTTCACCATGACCATTGAGGCCACAGGGGGAGATCTCCAGAAGCAGAACCATCTCCTACAGCCACAGAAAAGCCACAAGTGGGTTTTCTTTTGTTGTAGGTTTCTTTCATCCACTTTCATCAGATGGCTGATGTTTGTTTAGTTCTGCTTTTCAGTCCTTTCCACTTCATCAGTTCCCTCCTGGTCCTGATGAGGTGCCATGGATATTATAGTACAAATCCAGAAATCATCCAGTGCACTCACATTGTATGCAGCCCTGTTTGGATCATTCACAGCAAGGCAGATAACTGTCAGATTTTTCATGTCTCCCAGGGGACGCATCCAACCACACAACCAAATGAGTTATCCAGCAGTACAATAAGGACTTGAACCCTTTTTGATGGGAGAAGAGTATAGCTATACATTAAGCCTACCTATACACAGCCTTCATAAATAGACTACATACAAGCCAAGAATCTCTACTTAAGTCATTTAATGTGTCCAGAGTGGAAAAAAAGAGTGGAAATTTAGATAAGATGTTGGGGAAATTTTGTACTCTAAGGGTGGTGAGGCCCTGGCACAGCTGCCCATGTAAGCTGTGGTGCCCCATCCCTGCAGGCACTCAAGGCCAGGTTGGATGGGGCCCTGGGCAGCTGAGCTACTGGGTGGCAGCCCTGCCCATGGCACGGTGGGCTGGTGGGCTACAAGGTCCTCTCCAATGAGGATGTATGAAAATGCAATTTTTTTGTGGGTATCTTGGAGGAAGCAGAGTTCAAACTAAAAAAAAAAAAAAAAAAAGACCAAAAAAACAAAGGTCAGAATTTCTTTTATTAACATGCAAGCAAATCCAACTTTTAAGAAATTAGAAATTATTAAGTATGTGAAATAAATATGTTTAATTACTAGGAAAATATGTTTATTGATTTCTACCCTCAAAAAGCTCAGTCATATTATGTTGGCTTTCTCCAGATGGCTTACTGATGAAAGATTACTAAACTCTGTTGGTATTTCTAGGGTGTTAGATCTATGACAAAAGTGGATATACTGAAAACGTGAGAAGTATCACACTTCTAACCCACCATGATAGAACTGTCAGCATGAAAAAAACAATAAAAAATCTTAAGACATTTAAATGTTTAACACCTGAGACAGTCATACCTGTGAAATCCATTTCTTTTTAATAAAAAAATCCAAAAGAGCTCTTTGCAACTCTTTTTGAAATCAATGGAAAGATTTCTGCCTGCATGAAATGTTTTTAGATTGCTTATGTGTAAGCAATTACAGTAATAACTGAAAAGATAAAGTGTTCAAACAACTTGGATGACCCACAGAAAAATGTAAGATGAAGCAGAGAAAAAAAAAATGGTAGAGTAAAATATTGACTGCTACACCAAAAATAATAATAAGAAGAAGAAGAAGAAGAAGAGGAGGAGGAGGAGGAGAAGGAGGAGAAATTTGAAACAAGACTGAACTAAATCATCTAAATCAACTAAATCATCCTACTAGACTTAGCTCCTGTTTGGCACAGTGGTAATTCAAAATTACATTGCATCTTGTTTTTGTATCCATGTATCACTGTTTAAATTGAACACTGGAGCAGTGTCATTATCTAAGTGCAGGTCCCATACAGAAACACAGGAAGCAGCATTTCCATGCTAGGCGAAATGTTAATGAGAACTCTGGTGCATGCAGCTTCTCATGCAGCTGTTACAGAAAATGATAGATCTCTACAGACGTATGATTACATCGCTCTGCCACTGAAATACAGAGGTTGGCCTTTCAAAATATTACAAAGCTGCGGGTTGTTTCAAACAACTCTTAGCTGCTCTTTGCCCTGGTAATTATTTCAACCTGACTTACCTCCCTGAAAATCCATCACTTCTTACAGCTCCTTTGGGTTGTGAGTCTGTCTCTCGCACGCATTGATGGCAGTAAGTTATAAATAGAATCAATTCTACCGTCAAGAGCCTGATCCAATTCCTGTAAAATGCCACAGGGCTTTTTTTTTTTTCATGAGTTTTAATAGAAAACATGCTGGATCTTAGAAGAACGCTCTAAAAGAGTCCCAAACCTCAGATTAAAAAAGCCCACTTTGCTCCCTGTGAAACTAATGGTGGGTTTATTTTTGCTGTCACTTTAGCACAATCAGGTCTTGAATTTTTGTTGGAAGAAAACTCAGAATTTTCCTGATATTTCAATTAAATGCAGTGACAATGCTTTAAAAAATTAAATTAAAATGGACCAGAGCTTGGTTGAATTTTAGTTGTTGTTATTATTACTATTATTAATCTTGGACAGTTCCTTACAAAGCTGGAAACTGAGTCCATTTCACTTCTAAATTGTTTCGAAATTATTTGCTAGCCACAATTACAGCATTGCTATGCATAATAATCAAAAAACACAAACATTTCAAATGTTAAAAAAATATTTTAAATTATTTTTTTACTATTTGATCTGTAGCTGTTCACAAATGTACAACAAAATGTTCAATATTAGTATTAGCAGAAATGCTGAGTGTATTGAGGTTTATTATGCTACCACAGTTGATGATATTTTTTGTTGCAATCACTGTAAAATTTACATCCAGTTCTCCATGATAATTATGGAAATTGTCTCAATCTCTGTCTCTTACATAACGACAGAATGCAAATTATTTCTGAAGCAATAAATTTTCCCATCAAACACAGAACCATTTGGCTATATTTAAAATCAGACACTGGCCACAATGTTCAACTGAGGTTCCACTTCTGGATCACATCTCTCTGTCACCTATATATGCCATTCCAGCAGTCTGGAACATACTGGAATATTCTTTACATTGTAATTTATAACCATGTAATAAATCCATATTCTTGTATTTAACAGAGTGGTAAGCTGATGTACATGAACTACATTATCTAATCACCTTCCAAAATTATAAAGAGTGTATTTCAAAAATTAAAGATGTGAAGAACAGGCTTTGCACAGCACTGCAGTAAAGACACTGTGATTCTACACATCTCTGAGTTCTGAGTATTAGTGCTGGATTTGTTGCCATTTACTAAGGAAGATCTTTCAGCTGTCTGAGACTGATTAATCATGATTTGCTAATGCATAAAGTGATAGTACTTGAAGCAGCAAGCTGCAAAGTGAGGTCATCCTTAAAGCAATTAGTTTAGGGTGGGCCTCTGCTCTGTGTCTTTGGAAAGAAAGCGAATGCATGGACAGTATTTCATTTAAACTGCACTTGCACTGACTGGACACCCAAAACAAATCTTTCCATACAGCAAGTTGTGTTGCTGAAAGGACAATGAGTTTTAAGAACTGAAGGGGAAAGAGTAACAAAAGTGGTAAAAAGAAAAATGTTAGAGAAACTGATCTGTTCCACAAGTGCTGCTGGAGATGAAGGTGAGAGGCGGGGAAGGGGAAGAGGTTGAAAGCCAGGACAGGAAGGAAGGCATCAGACTCATCTGCAGTCTTCTGCAGGCTTCCCTCCTTGTCTCATTTCCCACTTCTTTACATGAGATGTCTTTCCTGTAATCTTCCTCTTCTGCACGTATTCAAGCACATCTTTCCTCTCCTGTTTCTCAGCTTCTGTCTTCTATCATCTATCCTATTTGATGGAGTCATTTCCTCTTAATGTCTCATCACTCTCACTAACACAGCAGTAACATACAAACTCCTGCTTAATTAGGTTGTGATTTTGACACAGATAAGGATCTCTACTGTATCCAAATCAGAAGAGAGTTTGTGAAACACCTGACTGACAAAGAATGGAGAAATGTTGCTCAGCTGAGATTTGATCTGAGTGTGCTGACTGAGCCCAACACCTTAAACCAACGCAAGCCATCAAGCACAGTGGAACAATCAGTGTGTGTAAATATCTGGGTGTCACAGAGTCTTAATGGGGAAATATAACAGCAACACCTGTGGTAAACTGGCAAAATGAGCATAAATGAGTTGGCACGTTTCTTGCAGTCTGGAAGCCCTGGTTTAACTGCCAGAGAGGTACAGCATAGTTCAACAAGGATTGCAAATCACTCACAGATATAAAAGGAGAGATCTTACCTACACCAATATATGTATAACCCCACACAAACAAAATGGAAAAAAAATTTCAGTACAGATGTAGAAAATGCAACCCACCTTTACAGTCTGGTTTTAATCTGTGTCTAAGTACAAAAGTATAGAGAACATAAAAGGAAAATACTGAAGGCTGTTTACTTCTGCAGCCTTCTGGTTGTCTGGAGATGCTAAGTTTGGAAAGGAAAAGATTACCTGAAGGGAAAACACTGTGTTTTCAAATGAATACCCTTTTAATCAGAAGCTCCTATCCTAGATCTGAAATACAAAAGTGTAACTTACAACTTTGTTACCCCTTTTCAAGTGAAGATTTTTCAGCAAGCTAAGAAGCTAGCCTGCTTTTGGAGGAGGCCTAATTTCATCATAGGGTCTAGCTTAAAGTTGATATTTGAGGACATCTGATAATTTTAGTCTCTCTTATCTCCCTACAAACTCTTCTGTCTGGTGCTGGAAAGGAGAACTGAAAAATCACTTGCTGCTATGACTGACAAAGATAAGATCATGGAAACACAAACAAAAATGTTGTTAGAGCATCTGCTGGTGTGGCTTCCCTCACAAACTGAGGAACTAAGATGCCAAATAAGGAACTCAGTAGAGAAGGGAAATGACCTATTACAAATGCTTTGCTTTTTTAACTGAAGCACAGATTATGTGCTTGCAGCAGATGTTATGCTAAGATAGGTTATTATTATAACACTATAATAAAATGGGAGGCACCTTTAGAAAACTGCTGCAACTGGAACATGATTGCACTGAAGGGTGGAAAATTGCTCCATTAATTTGTGTTGCATCCATGTACCCAGTGTCCTAGAAAGTGTTCCAAGACTGACACTGAATTTACAATGTGACAACATAATCAAAATGGATAGGTGTGAAATCATACCTCTCTATATAATACAGTCACCCTGCCCATGTAATTCTGTGCTTGTGTCTTCTTCCATGGACTGCTTGCTTTGAAAAACAGCCTGCAAGCACTGTGGGGATAGATTTTTTAGTTCCATTCTCAAAAGGATTATTTGCAAATAAGCAAAGTGACTATAATCTTTTAGGCAGCTTGTACCAGGCGGTACAGATCAATAAACAGACCTTCTTATCTGTTTGTAGGACTGGCACAAAAGGTTTCCAAGGAGACTTTTTAGAGATATGCAGACTATCATAGTCAACTTTAGCTATGCAGCCCTTGCAAGGCAGCATGTCATTCTGTCAGCTGAATACTCTGTTACTGAGTCTGCTTTTTTAATGTGACAATTATATTAAACGTGACAGCCCAAAATGGCTCTAACATCAAGGGAGGAGCAAAGCCAAAATCAAGTCAGTAGATGAGAAAGTAATTGGTAAAGAAAACAAAACAAAAACTAACAGGCAATGGAGAGCAATAAAACACTGATTTCACACAGGGGAGACCTGAGCTATATTTCAAGCTATGCTCTTCTTCCCTTTCTTCTCCGTTCTCCACACTGCAGATTGTTAGGGGTGAGAACAGCATCCTGTTTCAGTACGTGTTACACCTCACTACCAAGAGGGGCCTCCGGGCAATAGCCTGAGTCAGATCAATAATAACACAAAATCAAGGCAGCAGCCACACTGGCTGAGGGGGTGAATCACAGAAGAGATGGGCAGGGCAGCTGCTGGCCTGACGCACACACCTGGCCTGCTGGACACGTTTGGGTTTTGCTGCTCCATCCTGCCATAAACAAACGTGACAGCTCCAGGGCGCTCTGGGTACAAGGAAAACTTTCAGCAGGACACAGCGAGAGACGCTTAAAGGGGGTGAGTCATAGAATCACAGCAGGGCCTGGGTTGAAAAGGACCACAACGATCACGTAGCTTCGACCCCTCTGATACACGCAGGATCACCAACCACCAGAACAGGCTGCCCTGAGCAGGGAAGTGTTTGTTTTTAAAGTGTTTGGTTTGAAAGTATTTAAATTTCTCTGTAGTGAGGACACAACTGTAGGACATGGCTGCCGTTTGCTGCCGCGAAGAAACGGCTCAGACCCAAGGCTGGGTGGCAAGCAGCAGTGACGCTACCACCAACACCCATCGCGCCGCCTGCCCCGCCCCACACACAACACGGCCGCCACCCTTGCGCAACGGCCGCCCCCCCGCGCACGCTCACTCCTCCCTATCCCCGGTCACGTGGCGCCGCTGAGGTGGCGCGCGTTCGCTCCGCCGCTCGCTCAACTCGACCTCCGTTCTGGCGGTCGCGCGCCTCGCGCCGCCCGCCGCAGGGAGCGCGCGCGTGCAAGCGTGCACGCGCTGCGCCAACCGCCGCCGCTTGGCGCAGTTCGCAGCCGGCGCGGCGCGGCGTTTCCCGTCCGCCTCCTTCCATTCATCCGTCCGCGAGCGGCGCCGGCCTCGCTGGAGGTAAGCGGTGAGGCGGCGGAGGGTTGCGGGGGCGGGAGCGGCGACCGTTGAACCCCTGTCACCGGCCGCCGTCTGCCGGCGGGCAGGTGTGGCCATGGGTACGGGCCGGGCCGTGGAGGCCTCGGGAGCGGAGCCGAGGGGCCGGGAGGGATGAGTGCCGCCATCCCCTCGGAGCTCTTCAGGTTAAAAATGGTGCTGGGTGCCGTGCTGCATGGCTCCTTCCGTTTGACGGCCGTGCTTTTCTTCAACTGACGCGTTACTTGCGTACCTGCAGGGCATCTTTCTTTATTTTTTCTTTTTTTCCCCTTCCCTTTTTTTTTTTATTTTTTTTTTATTTTTTATTTATTTTTTTTACTTGTTTATCCCCACTGACGGAGGGAGCGTGGAGCTGTAACCGTTGGCCCGCCGCCTTTGTGTGCGCGCCTGAGTTTTTGCCAAGTGCCCACCTCAGGTTGTTGTGTGTGGGCAACGCTTCCCCTCGGCCGGTGCTTGCCGAGGACCTGTTGGAGGCGTCCGTGGCTGTAACGGAGCGCTGCTTAAGGGCAGTCCAACAAAGTAATGTGATATGCGTACCTGTCTCGTGCGCCTCTTGTGTTTACGCAATGATTTTTTGTGAACAGAATCCCGTTGCTGTTATAAGAGGTGTTTTGTTGGCCGTATCCTGTCAGAGTACTTATTAGGACCTCGTCAGAGAGGAAGAAGGTGATGGACAGCACTGCGGATCTCCTCCCCTTGCCCATCTCTGTCTAATTTCGGATACTGAGCTCCTGATGTTAGAAAAATACGAGAAAGTGGGAAAATGAGTGAGGTTATACACATTTTAGCAAGGCATTGTGAAAACGAAAGAAATGTAGTCCTGGTATGCTGTCACTTTTTGTTATTGAAAGTGTGAGCGTGGCAGTCTGCATGCACAGAGCCACGGTCTGTGTGTGTGCAGGCAGCCAGCTCCGAGTCTGTCAGTTGTACATCTTCTCTTCCAGCTCCTGCTTGGGGGTTTTTGCGTCCCAGAACAGACAGGAATGTAAATTATTTTGCCATCCTTTACAAAGAAAGACAGGGAAGTTCTCTTCTGTGGGATAAGTGAGCGATCAGAGAGATGCCCAATAAAAACATTAAAATCGTAGAATCATAAAATCGCTCAGGTTGGAAAAGACCATAAAGATCATCGAGTCCAACCACAACCTAACCATACTACCCTAACTCTAATAACCTTCTGCTAAGTCCTGTCCTTGAGCACCACATCCAAACACACACCCGGGAATCACTATTATATTGTAAACATTAAAAGTGATAAACTAATTACAATAAGTTTATCAGTAAACTCAGAATGTCGGAGGAGCTTGAGATACTTCTTTATGTGGTGTTATTTGTAATTGCATCAGAACAGGTAGTGCTGAAGGACTGTAGTAAGCTATTATGGTGTTCCTTGTTTAGCTCATAGCATAGCTTTTCAGTTAGGCATACCAAAATGGTTGGTTTTCTTTAATGGCCTCCAAAAGAGGTGGTGTTTGAACTTGTCTTACTCTCAGTACTTAATTTTCTAACAAGCCAAAATATTAGCTTAGTTGTTTGTTATTCTGTACAAGGAAAACATGGATGTGAAATGTTCTAGCATTGCAGCGCTGAGAACTTCTTGTCCTCCCTCCCTACTTGCACATTCCTTTCTGCTCATATAAGGTCAGGATCATTTATGGGGAAATATAAATTGCACTTCTTACACTTGACACTTCCTGAGGCGTCTGAAGTCCCAGAGGCAGCATGCAGTAGCCGTTCTTCGTCGTCTTCTTTGTCTCCCAGGAATTGCAATCTAGCCCAGGTAAAGTTGAAAGGATTTTGTTCCATGCCACACTGGGAACCTCTGTCAAGACTAGAGATAAAATTAGTTGAGTTGGGTGGTTTTCATTGTTGATGGTATGTTGTTTGTGGAGTATTTTTTTTTTTAATCCTGGAAGGTGTTCACATACCTCAGACTCTGGATCAGAATTTTCTTCTTTTCTGTTTATTTACACATTAAGTGCAAGTTTGCAGCACGTAGGAAGAAAGCAAACAATTCTTCAAGGTCTCATTGTGTGATCATAGAATATCTGAGCTAAATTATTAAAGTAGCTTTGGCTTAGATATGTAGTAACTTTTAACCAGTGTTTATATATGAACTGCAAGCACTTTATATGTAATTTTCTGAAAGAGATGAAAGGATAGTTTCTGATGTGAAATCTACTGCTCAATGCTAAATATATGCACACACAAAAAAAAAAAAAACCCAAAAACTTTCAGATTTGTACAAAGCAGTGACTGTTGCGTCAGTGTATGGATTAGATGTATTTCCGCAGTACTGGGTAAATTCTAGTGGAACAAAGTAGCATATTGTATCCCAATGGCTTCTGCATTTTGTGGTGCTGATCAGGAAGTGCTTCTACGAACTTCTGACCTCTCTGCTCTGCAGCTCCCCGATGAGGGGAGGCAGAGGGAGGTGCTGGGCTCTGCTCCTGGGAGCCAATGGCAGGAGGGAGACAGCACAGAGCTGCCAGGGGAGGATCAGACTGGGCACCGACAGGGCACAGGTCAGGCCCTGGAACAGGCTTCCTGGAAGGGTGGTTGGTGTTCTGTGCCTGTCAGTGTTCAAGGCGTTTGATCAGTGCCTCAATAATATGCTCTTGCTTTTGGTTAATCTTGAAGTGCTCAGGCAGTTCCTGAGCTCGGTCCCTTTCAAATGAGCTATTCTGTCTAGCGAGTCATTGAACGTGCACTTCTAAAGCTATAAAGTAACACAAATGCAGCATATTTATACTTTGCAAATGTATCTATGTTATGTCGGTAAGCAGAGGTTTTAAAAATTTGCAAATAAAATTATTTACTTTGAGCACAGAAAATTGTTGCTGCTATTGCAAAGATTGCTTCATGTAAAAATGAGCATTTCTTCTGCCTAGCTGTGCTCGCCCCTTTGTTACAAACATCGGGGATTATGTTTCTACTGGAGCAGCCAGGCTGGTTTAATATGCAACTGTCATTCCAGAGCGTGTTCGTATTTGAAGACAGAACTTACCTGTGCTCTTGAGGGATTAGTGTTTGTCCTTCTTTGAGAAAAAAAATAGACATGTAATTATTTCTTCTGTTTCTATTTCAAGGGAATTTCCAAGTGAAGGAAGCTAGCTTCCCCTTGTTAAGGATTTTCTTGTTATCAGTATCTTTCAGCTTTGCAGTAATTTGACAACACACCACCGGAAGTTTTCCTGAGTCATTCCCTTCCCTGGAAGCAGTCAAGGCCAGGCTGGATGGGGCTTTGAGCCACCTGGTTTAGTGGGAGGTGTCCCTGCCTATAGCAGGGGGTTGGAGCCAGGTGATATTAAAAGCCCCTTCTAACCCAAACCATTTTATGATTCAGTTTTCCTAAAGCTAAGAGAGATCTGTTTGTTGCTGCACTCTACTGAGTAAACAGAGATGAGTTTTAAGTAAGCATATAGTCCATTTCTTTATCCAAAATGTTGAATTTCAGTAGCAGAAATGTAAACATTTGAAGTGATATTAGAAAAGTCTCTAGTGTACCATGTGATATTTTTGTGTCAGTTCAGTGTGGCTGAGCATCATAAAATGGTTTGGAAGGGACTTTTAGGGTCAGGTAGTTCCAACCCCCCTGCTATAGGCAGGGACACCTCCCTCTAGACCAGGTTGCTCACAGCCCCATCCAGAGTGGCCTTGAATGCTTCCAGGGACGGGGCATCCACAGCCACCTGGTTTAACATAGTTCATACTAAAGCAGTCTTAGGCCATGTCTTTAGACTTAGTAACCTTCTTTTGATAGTGTTGTTTCCTCTGGAAATGTAGGGATTTTTGTTTTGTGTTTTTTTTCTTCTTGGATTGATGGCTATTACAGGCCTTTTAAAGGAAAAATGTAAAGAACCCTTTACAGAGTTCTTAAAAGGAAGAGTTTTGAATAATAAATTGTAGCTGAGATTCCATTATAGAAGGAATAAATTGTTTCTCACTTGGATAACAACAGAATTTAGTTAGCAGTGTGAACTGACATGTAGTGATTTTTTAAAAAATAAAATTCTTAGTGGTCATTTAAAGCCAGTTCTTCAGATGAGAAGTGTGTGTGTTAACAGGAACAAGAAATCTGTCAGGCTGCTTTACAGGTTTACCGTGTCTCATCTGTGTGGTGCAGATGTGCTGTTATGTGCTGTGGGTGAGGAGAAATATCTTTCAGATAGGTATGTGGTCTGTGTTTCTTAAAACTTAATAATGCCCATAGATTGTGTGTGATGAATGAATAAGCACGTTCTGCTTTGTTCAGCTAGATTTAATTTTCCTCTTCCAAATATCTCATGCTGTGCATACCTATGTGTGTGGGAATTCAGCATTTTTACCCGATTTTCTAATAAAATAGCATTCATTTCAGTGCAAATTGAATTTATTTTGGTACTTAGGCATCAATTTAAATGATATAGAGTCTGCTAATTGAAAAAGATTTCTTGTTTATATATAGTATATTTAGAAGTTCGATGTTTCATGTATGCTTTTTAGAATCAGCGTATTTGTTCTGAAGATATGTGCCAGCCTCGCTGTGTTTATTCACTGTTAATAGATAGGATGCTTCTCTTGCTTAAATACACGTGCTTTGATTTTGAAATGCTGGAGGGTCGGAAGAAAACGTAAATACACCTGAGGCAAAGCAGAGCATGGGAAGGCTTTTCTTCCCTCTAGTGGGAAGTGCAACCAAATAATGGCTGCTCACAAGGGAAATAATTACAGCTTTCTGAAAACATACAGGAAAAGCTTTGTCAGCTTCTCTTACTTTAAGGAAAAATGAGATGGATGGAATTTCTATTCAGAAAATTTGGTTACTGTGTTATGTATGTAGTAATAAGTTCAACAAAGGATGATGTGGCTGTGGGAGAGTCTGCAGTGCCAGAAATAGCTCAGCTGTTGAATGTAGCAAGCTTCTGTGTGGATTATGCCTGTGCAGATTTTGAAAGAGTACAGTCTTGCATTAGCCAGCTTTGCTTTTTCAGTGTCTTGAAAGAAATAAATGTCTTTATATAGACAGGAATATTTTTTGTGTGAATGTAATAAATTTTTGGTGGCACTGATAGCTTTATCAATAAAACTTGCTGTATATGCTCTTGAAAATGGAGAAAACTCAAGTTAAGGAAAGATGCTATAATACTGGAATCAGATAATTGTTAGTAAGTCATTGATATACAGCTGGTGACATGTAACAGAAGAGACAGGCCCTGCAGATTGTGGCCTTTCTTTCACGTTATGCTCCCTTTTATTTTTCTCAGAAATAAAAAAAAAAAAAAACCCTTAAAAATATTCTAAACTTGACTACCTATCCAACAGGAGATCCTGCAGAAACTGAACTTAGCTTCTTACATCAGAGATGGAAAGCCAGACATTTGATTTTACTCATTTTTAATCACCAGTTTAGGCGTCAGTGCATTATTGCTGTTATCTCACAGGTGTTTCTCTAGCATCTCTTAACTGCTTAGGTTCTTGTTCTGTGCTGTTGGTACTTGTGATAAGACTTCTCATTCCTTTAGTAGGTTTTGTTGGTTTAGTTTTTGGTTTTGTTTTTTTTGCTTCTGTGGAATCACAGGATGGTAAGGGTTGGAAGGGGGGGGCCTCAAGAGTCATGAATCTCCACCCCTCCAACCCTCCCCCCCTCCCCCCCCACTACAGGCAGGGCCACCAACCTCCACATTAATACTAGACCAGGCTGCCCAGGGCTTCATCCAACCTGGCCTCGAACACCTCCAAGGACTCCAGTCTGTGTTTTGTCATCTCTATAGGAGAATCAGGAACTCATCCACTTTGTTTGCACTGTATAGCCAAAGCATTAGAAGTGCATGGAAATGAAGAAATAGTTTGGAATTTTAAGATTCTGAAGATCTTAAGGATCTTTTCCGTGTCAAAATGAAGATGTAGGATGTAGGCAAAAGTTGTTCCATGCTTGGTGTATGTATTATGATTTCTTAATTAAAGAAGGATACATTTGCCTCAATCATTGTCTCAGCAAATTTACCTTGATCTGTGAATGTTATGTTTTTGTGTTTTCATCGATGCTCCTATCTGTAGGATTACTGCTTGCTTCCTTCTTTCCGGAATGTAGAATAATTGACAAAATGTACTGACAAAAGCTGGGGAAAAGTCCTATGGCTGTGTTCTGGCCATGCTGTTTCTACAGTTCCTATACAGTAAAATAAAATCACTTTAAATTTTCACTGTCAGCCTTTTTTTTTATTATTCCTTTGAATCATCACCTGGGATATGTGAATTCAGTTTGCACGTATACATGTAGCCTATGGAAGAAATGTTTTGAATATACAAAGTGTTTATAGAATCATAAAATTGTAGAATCCTTATAGTTAGAAGGGACCTCTAAAGGCCATCTGGTCCAACTCCCCTGCAATGAACAGGGACACCACAGCAGGGACACCTGATCTGGCCTCACCTTGAAATTCTCCAGGTCGAGGCATCCACCACATCTCTGGGTAACCTGTTCCAGTGCCTCACCACTCTCACTGTAAAAGACTTTTTTCCTTATATCTAACCTAAATCTCTCCTCTTTAAGCTTGAAGCCGTTTCCCCTTGTTCTATCACCACAGATCCTGCTGAAGAATCTGTTTCCTTCTTTCCTATAGCTCTCCTTTAGATACAGGAAGGCCGCTATCAGGTCATCTCAGAGTCTTTTCTCCAGGCTGAACAGCCCCTGCTCTCTCAGCCTGTCCTCATAGGAGAGGAGTTTCACTGCTTGGATCATTTTTGTGGCCCTCCGCTGGACGTGCTCCAACAGGTTCGTGTCTCCTGCACTGAGGACTCCACATCTGGATGCAGTACTCCATGTGAGGGCTCACCAGCACAGAGCAGAGGGGCAGGATCACCTTCCTCACCCTCCTGGCTACACTTCTTTCGATGCAGCCCAGAATTCAGTTGGCTTTCTGGGCTGCAAGGTCACATTGTTGGCTTGTGTCCAGTTCCCACTTCAGGTCCTTTTTGGTAGGGCTGTGCTTAATCCTTTCATGCCCAACCTTGTATTGGTAGTGGATGTTGCCTTGACTGAGTTGCAAAACCTTGCACTTGGATTTGTTGAACCTCATGATGTTCACCAGGGAAACTCTGCAAAGTCAACTTTTAACTTTGATTAAATAAATCTTAATCTCCTGGACTTTGTTTTCTGTTGTGTAGGTGAAAATAATACTGTATTTCTGGGATGCTCTAAAACTAGATTAATATAATCAACCATGTCATAAATCTTACTGTAGGTAAGTATGATTTTAAAAATGCAATCATACTTTTTATCAGGGATTCTGAGTAATGAGCAATGGGATAAGATGCGTAGATTCACAAAAAGCGGAGAAGAAATGTAATATGGGATGCTGACTGATCTTTGTCAGCACTAT